ACACACAATGCATTGGTGAGCTTGGGAAGGTCCCTAAGGCACCTACTTTCCAGGAGGGCATCTCACCGTCCCAGGGGGTTCTGTCGTCCTGGACACCCGCACTGACCTCCTGCTTGGGGAAGATCCCATAGCTCACTGTCTGGGCCACCTCACTGTCCTCAGGTGGCAGGCCCTGAGATGACAATTCTGGAGGCCAAATTCTGCCAAAATTCCATCCCACCTGGTGTCCCCTAGGCAGCACCCCACACTCAAACACAAAATTATTCGCTAATTCATTGCACAAGTGCTCACTGGCTACCCCACAGTACCAGGTGGGAGGGGCTTCAGGGATGAGCAAGGCAGGCTGCCCCTGCCCTGGTAACTCTAGAACAGTCTCCACGGTCAGCTAGTGGACCAATGGTCTCAGACACCAGTGGGCGAGGCAGGGCTGCTGGGAGAGCAGGCGCTGTGGGCTCAGGGTCCACTGCTTGGCACTTACTGGCAGTGCAACCTCACCTCCCCAGGCCTCAGTGTGTACTACTGTGCAATGGGAATAATAACAGCCCTGCCGCCTAGGGAGCTGGGAGCTACCACTAGGCGACGCACGTGGGGAGCTTGGTAGAGTGGTGAGCGCGGAGTAGGTGTGTGGGAAATGCTCATGGACCTACTGTTGACATGGGGCCGGTGGGCACCCTGTGTGTTGGGGGAGGCTTCTGGCGATGCTTGTCCTGGATGGATGGCGGCTGGGTCACCAGGGACAGCCAATTAGCGTAAAGTCCTTTCCTAAGGCCCTCTTGGGAAAATCATCACATTGCAGTTACTGCAGTTTACCACGCTATGGGGTTTGTTACCATGGGGTTTTTTTGGGGGTGTTTTTTAGTTATTTGATTTTTATATTTTTTAAGTTGTGGTAAAATACACGTATCATATAATTTACCAACTTGTCCCTTTCTAAGTGTGCAGTTCAGTAGCATTAAGCACATTCACATTGCTGTGCAGCTGATCTGCAGAAGTCTTTTCACCTTGCAAAACTCAAACTTTGCCCCTGAAGGACAACTCCACATCTCCCCTCCCCACAGCCCCTGGCGACCACCATTCTACCTTCTATCTGTGAATTCGACTACTCTGGGGACCTCATAGAAGTGGAATCATACATCCTTTTTGTGACTGGCTTATTTCGCTTAGCATAATGTCCTCAAGATTCCTCCATGTGGCAACATGTGTCAAAATTGTCTTCCTTTTTAAGACTGAATAATATTCTTTCATCTGTATGGACCACATTTTGTTTATCATTCATCTGTTGATGGACACTTGGGATGTCTCCACCTGTTAGCTGCTGTGAGTACCGCTGCCACGAGTATGGGTGTACAAGTATCTCTGAGTCCCTGTTTCCGATTAATCTGGGTATATCCCAGAATTGGACTTGCTGGATCAGATGGTGGTTCTATGTTTACTTTTCTGAGGAGCTGCCATGCTGTTTCCATAGCGGCTGCACCGTTTTACATTCCCACCGACAGTGCACGAGGCTTCCGGTTTCTCCGCATCCTCTTCAACACTTGTTTTCTGGTTTTTTTTAGAGTAGCCTTTGTAATGGGTGTGAGGTGAGACATGATATGGTTTTTTAAATCTCATTTTTGCAGACGTTATTTATAACTTGTAGCTGTTCAAGTCATCATTCATGGATCTTAGCTCCATTCACTCCCCAGCGTCCCAAAACAGGAGTAGGATTTATCCCCTCAAAGGTACGATCGCACTGGTCCCAGGGTTCCCGAAGGGCTCGCCGCCCAGGCAGGGAAGCGTGCTGGTTGAAGCTGGGACTGGAATTGCGGGCTTGGGGTCTGCAGGGCCTGTGACCAGGAGCAAATCACTTCCCTCTCTGGGCCTGTTTCCTGTCCCCCAAAACAGGAACAATACCAACCCCTGAACTCCCCTACAGAGTTGCAGCCCTGGAGATAAAAAGGCTCTTGAAATTCTACAACAAGAGCAAAGCCTCCTGGTTTGTCAGGATAAAAAAAGCCTAGAGAGAAAGAGGGAGTGTCCCTGCTTCTTGGTAATGCGCGTAGGCGATTTCAGAGCTCAAGTTCATGGAAACAAATCGAATTACGGAGGAGGCAGGTCTGCCATTTGCAACTGTGGATTGTTTGAAATCCTTTTAGGGGAAAATTAAAATATTTCACAGAGGGTAATAAAATGCTGGGTGTTTTGCAGGCATGACTGCTCAACTCTCTTGGGCAAATAAGTAATTAAGCATTTTTATTTAAGTTTTCCGTGTTGTCATTTTCTTTCATTAGTGGAGGGGGGAAAAAACTATTGTGGAAAATACACAAAACTCTGGAAATCACCAAAAAGTTAATTATGAAATTATAAAAGGAATCTATATATGTGTTTTTTTAAAGCACAACATAACAGCAAGCTGTAAAGACAAAGAGAAGCTCTTAGAATGTATTTTCCCAAACGTCAGAAATGGGAGGCTACATCAAAGATTCCTCTGCTTCCAGATACAATCCCGTCTAAGCATTTGGGGACGGGAAGCCTTCCAAGGCACAGAACGCTGCGACACCGGTCTGCGTGGCCGTGGGAGCTGGGGAGGTGTCCTGGCTCTTGCTCCCCATCCGGGTCCCCCAGACCATCCGCTGAGGGACCTACAGCTCTTCCTCACTCTACCCTCCCTCACCATGGCCCACTCTAAGGAAAGGGTTGATTTTTCTCTGAGCTAGGAATCATCTGCCCCAACCTCTCCATTTTACAGGTGGAGAAACTGAGGACAGTATTTAGCTTCTAAGGCTCTTTGTTCCTGTGCATGCCTGGGTTTCAGGACTGCTGCGTTCTGATGCCTGTGTCCAGATGTGGCTCAGGTCTGCTCCATGGCTTGGGCCCTAACTGATGGTGGGGAGTAGGCTGGGGACATGTCCTGCTGCTAACAGAGGGTCCACCAGGCCCCTGCACAGCCAGTCCATGCTGGCATCTTGCTGAGTCCACCTCCTTCCTGCCTGGGCTGCTTTTATGAGCAATACGAGGGAGAATGAGGAGGGATCCTTGTGCAAGGCTTGTCTGAGACCCACGGAAAGCCACTCAGGACACAGGCATGCTCAGAGCTATTTATTCATCTTCAGAATCTCTCCAGGGCTTGGGTTATCTCTGGTGGCTTTCACCACCCCCAAAGCCCCCTCCACCTGAGTCGCTGCACAGTCATTGTACGTTAGTGGCAGGAGTGGGTGTGTGCTTGTGTTGGGGTGCACGGGCGAGTGCCTGTACCTGCAAATCTGCACTCCCACAGCCTCCTGCAAGCCCACTAGTGCCGTATAGAGGCATCTTGTCACATGAGTGAGCGACAGAAGGAAAGAGGGAGGGACCAAGAGAAGGGGAAAGTCAATTGCAGCTTGTTCTTACGATGGAATCTTTAGAGCAGTTAAAAAGGAACACGCTGAGGCCGGGCGCAGTGGCTCACAGCTGTAATCCCAGCACTCTGGGAGGCCCAGGTGGGAGGATCGCTTGAGGTCAGGAGTTCAAGATCAGCCTGAACAACACAGCAAGACCCTGTCTCTACAAAACATAGAAAAATGTGCATGCCTGTAGTCCCAGCTAATCAGGAGGCTGAGGAGGGAGGCTCGCTGGAGCCCAGGAGTTCGAGGCTGTAGTGAGCTATGATGACGCCACTGCACTCCAGTCCTGGTGGCAGAGCAAGACCCTGACTAAAAAAAGAAGAAAAAGAAAACAAACTGAAACACACATTCTTGCTTTTATCTCTTAGTTCTAAAAAAAAAAAAAGGAACACATTGCAGCCATAAACATGAATGACTTTCAAAAGCAGAATCGAGTGAAGCAAGTTACAGAAGAAGGTATACAGTCTCCTGATATGAAGTGTGCAACATGCACAACCGCACTCCACGTGCACACAGACACACATTAAGTTAAACTGCACCAAATTGCCTGTATATGACCGTCTTGACATACAAAAATAGCAGTTTCAATTGATTCAACCTAAGTCAAAATCACGAGGCACAGTCTGTCCATACCATGGATTATTACTCAGCAATCAAAAGGAACAAACGATTATCACATGCAGTACTTTGCCTGGGTCTCAAGGGGATTATGCTGAGTGAAAAAGTAAATCTTCAAAAGTTTCATACCGTGTGGTTCCACTTACACAGTGTACTGGAGATGATGACAGCGTAGAGGCAGGGAGCAGAGGAGTGGTTGCCAGGGCAGGCAGGGGAGGGAGGGAAGTGACGGCGGCCATAACAAGGTAGCACGGGACCCTTGTGATGAACTGTCCTGGATCTTGACGGCGGTGGTGGTCACAGGAACCCACACATGATGCTGTTGCATAGAAAATACCCGCGTGCACACGAATGCGCGCACACACAGGTGTGTGCAAAGCTGGTGAAATCTGAGCAAGGCGGTTTCGTCGTGTCCGTGCCGCCATCCTGGTTGCGATTTTGTACTGTGGTGATGTAAGAGGTCAACACTGGAGGAAACCGGATGAAGAATATATGACATGTTTCTGCATTATTTCTCATTGTGTGTGAGTCTACAGTTACCTAAAAATAAAAAGTTAAAACACACGTGGTAATGATTAATGCCAAATTTAAGGTAGAGGTTGCTTCTGGGACACGGTAGATTATGCAGATGGGGAGCGCCATACAGAGGGGATTCAACTTCATCTATGCCGTTTTATGGCTTTCAAAAGAAAAGTCTGAAGCAGGTGTGCATGTTAGGATCCTGGGAAGCTGGATGGTAGGCACACAGCTTTCATTATATTATTCTCTTATCGTTTCTATGTGTGAAATAATTCATAATTTTCAAAACCTGATCTTGCTTACCTCCTTTCATCCAGAGGCAGGACTGGGTCTGGGATCGCAGGCCTGGGGGTGCAGGAGGTGGGCCCAGGGCTCCGGGAGGGCTCAGTCCCCACTCCGCAGCCCACCGGGCAGCAGCGCCAGGGCCTCGGGGACAGCCAGGGCGGGGGGTCCCCTGGAGCGGGCCCTGCGCATGCGAGCCGCTCCCGCCTCTCCCTGCAGCCCCCAGAGAAGGAGGGCGCCCTGCCCCGGCAGGTGGGCAACAAGACGGAGTGCGGCCTGCTGGGCTTCGTGCTGGACCTGAAGCAGGACTACGAGCCCGTGCGCAGCCAGGTGCCGGAGGAGAAGCTGTACAAAGTGTACACCTTCAACTCCGTGCGCAAGTCCATGAGCACCGTCATCAAGCTGCCCGACGAGAGCTTCCGCATGTACAGCAAGGGTGCCTCTGAGATCGTGCTCAAGAAGTAAGCGGCGGTGAGGGGGTCAGTGTGCGGGGAGCTGGGGACATCCGGGTCACACCGCACTGGCTGCCATCCATGCTGGGCCTAGAAGCCTGCCCCGGCTGGAGTGGCCCTGTAGCACCCATAGGCACGGAGACAGCCCTGCCCTACGTCACCCACCAAGACTCACCTCCAGGGCACCTTGCCCACTGCTTTTTCCACTATATCCCCTTAAAAATTTCTATGGAGTCCTCCTCCCTTTCAGAGAGTCCTCCCCACCTCCTCCCTAAGTTCCTGGATCATCAGGAAGTTCTATCCATTATCGCACTGAGATCTCTCTTATTTCACTTCCCTTGGTATAGACTCAGTTGATGGTGGCTGTTCACATTATCAGCCCAGCTCCTCTGACTCCAGGTGCTAGAAATAAGCCTGGAGAACTAAGCAAGTCACTTCCCCTCTGTGGGCCTCAGTTTCCCCACTTATACATGGAGGGGATTGGTCTAGCCCAGTGGCCCTTAACCCTGGCTCACACATTGGAATCACTCTAGGGAGCTATTAAAGAACCACTGACTGCTGGATTCACCCCAGACGGATTGAATGGGAACCCCCGGGGCGGGGCTTGCACATGGCTCTTTATTAAATGCTCCCCAAGTGCTTCTAATGTGCAAGCAGGGTCAGAACCCCTAGCCTAGGTTTTACGTCCTTGGCAAACTTCGCTGTGGAACTGTTTTCTCAGATGAAAACTTGTGAATATATAACAGATCAAAGTGCAGCTGCTGTTGCTGAATGGCCTGGGGCAGATATTGCAAGAAGGCTGCCTGATTTCACCCTGCCTGGGCCCTGGGTGCGCCCGGCCCCAAGACCTGTGGGAGGTGGGGGGATGGGCACCAGCCGCCATCCACAGCCAGCTGGGCATCACCAGTCAGGAGGAAGAATGCTTGGGCTCCTCATCTCCCTCCCATCCTCCCCCAGGTGCTGCAAAATCCTCAACGGGGCGGGTGAGCCCCGGGTCTTCCGGCCCCGAGACCGGGACGAGATGGTGAAGAAGGTGATCGAGCCCATGGCCTGCGATGGGCTCCGCACCATCTGCGTGGCCTACCGCGACTTCCCCAGCAGCCCCGAGCCCGACTGGGACAACGAGAACGACATCCTCAATGACCTCACCTGCATCTGCGTGGTGGGCATCGAGGACCCTGTGCGGCCCGAGGTAGGCCCCCGGGGCAGCCAGCTCGGGAAAGGGGGCAAGGCCGGGATTCCAGTCAGCTGGGTGACCTGGAATAAGTCACTTCACCTCTCTGAGCCTCCGTGTTTGTGCAACACCTGTGGGATCTTCTTACCTGACCCTAAATTCACACTCACAAGACCAGCATAGGCCACAGTCGGCAGGGGTGTGCTCTGGCGGCAGCCCTCAAGCTGCCCAGCCACCAGGAGCCCTTCCATACGGTCCCACAAGGGACACGTGTGGGAACTGCCCTGCCTCAGAAGCCTTTTGCCCCGCAGGAGCCAGGATGCCTTGTGACGAATCCACAGCCCTGGATTCCAGGGTCCCTGCAAAGAGCACACCCGGGTGTCACTGTGCTCGGGAGAACCAGTGTGTGCCCAGTCCCGGTGCACTTCACCGATCAGTTCGCCCTAGCAAGCTCGCCTGGGAGCACAGCTGGCGGCCTGCTGTTACCAGGTTTCCAGGGGAACAGGGCTAGAAAGTTAACCGAAGGTCACATTCTCAAGCAGAAGGGAAAGAGGTGACAGCACCTACCTCACAAGGATCAAGGGAGGTGATGCCTGTGAGTGCACCTAGTGGGTGCTCAGCTCACAGTAGGTCTTCAGTCCCCTTTAGCTGAATCTGCACCTGGAGGGGGCGCCGAGAATTCAGTGCGGGGGGCTTGTGGGCTCAGGGGCGAATGGGACGTCGGTGGTCTGTGGGGCTGCCCAGGCTGAGGAGGAGCTGTGGGGAGCAGAGCACCCTGCCTCGAGTCTCCAAAACGCTGCGGTGGGCAGGCAGGGAGCCACCTCACGCTGCGGGGCCACTGAGGAGCTCAGGGCATGAGGCGGGTGCAGGAGGGGCCAGTTCCGCGTCCTCCGTCCTCCGAGGACTCACTCAGCTGCTGAGTCTGGGCCTCAGTCCCAGCCAGCCCCCAGCTGGGTCCACATAGGCCTCGGCTGAGAGATTCAGTGCCGATGCCCTGGGGGGCCCTTCCTCCACTGAGGGCAGCTTCTGTGCTCCCAACCTGCCCTGACACCGTGCTCTGGGGGCCTCTGGCCATTCCCTGCTCCTCTTGGAGCCTCAGTTTCCACTTCTTTAAAGTAAAAGGGACTAGACAAGATGCTCTTCAAGTTCCTGGCCCTGATGTTGTGAGATTCTGTGTTCCAAAGAAAAGTGAAACTAGGAGATCACAGACATTGACTTTCATATTTAGGCTGCAGGTCAAAGTGTGAGCCCAGGCATCAGACAGACCTGGGATCCTGAGTGCCAGCATTGCTGGCTGTGTGGCTCTGGACTAGTTACATAACCTCTCTGAGCCTCAGCTGTAGACTGGCGACAATAATAGTATCCCACACACCCACACCCTAGAATAATGTGAGGCGTCCAAACATGCATATAGGGGCAACAAACAGAGTATCTGGCATGAGATAGGTGGCCCATAAATGTGGGTACCCTTCCTTCATGCCTTCCCCGGTACCCCAGATCCCGTGACACACATAATGGCCCTCCACACAGAGCCTGGCCTACCGAAGGTGCTCCGTAAGTGTGGAATGAATGAATGAGAGTGCGGGGGACTCGAACCCCAATCTTCCAATGCCATCTCTCCCTCTCTCATGCACACACGTGCACACTGACACATGGAGGCCTCCTGTGGGGATGTCCCTGTGGCTTCCTCACTCCTATCCAGACGCTGAAACAGCAAAGACAATAATGCCCAGGGAGCTTGGCACTGGAGCCCACGTGTTTCCTGCAGGCAGCTCTCTCCCTGCACGGACAGGCTGCGTATCCACCGCCCGTGGGACACTGCTCGTTGCCAGTCTAAGGGGTTCGGGCCTCACCTCCTTACTGAAAATTGCTCAGAACAGGTGGCAGAGACTCACCCCTGCTCAGTGCCAGGCAGGCCTGCCCACACCGTGCGGCTCCCCCGCCCGCCCAGCCCCACGGCCTCCCTCGGGGCCTCCCAGAGCTCCTGGCTCGTCACCCTGCCTTGGAAACATCCCGAGGCACATGGAGAACAGCATCGGACACTAACTTTATTTGGCCATGACCCACAATAACAAATGTGTTTTATGTCATGAGTCAATAAACACACACACTCAACCAAAATAAGAATTTCACAAAGTAATGTGATGCATTTAAATATTTTCTATTCTCTCCTATTTCTTTTGTTCTTTTTTTAAATGCTGGTCACCACCCACTAAACTGATTTCATAGTCACTAACAGGGTATGACTCAGTGTTTGAGCTGCCGATCCAGTCCAAACACCTTCCCCTCATACCCCCCAATTTGCAGATGCTAACACTGAGGCCTAAAGAGAGACAGCGATGTGCCCAAAGTCTTGCTGTAAGTGGCTGAATGAATCCAGATTAGAACAGGTTTTCTGCCTCCCTGCCCCAGGGCCTTTGCCTGGGTGCCACAGAAAAAAGGACAGGGCAAGTAGTCCTAAGTGACAGAGTGAGGGGAAGAGCCTGAGAGGGGCTGAACTGGCTCCCTGGCATTTTCTGTTGACAGCACAGTCATCCAGAGAAGTTGGCTTCAGACACAGACTCTGGGGAAGGGAGGCCTGGATGCGAGCCCCAGCTTTGCCACTAACAAGCCACTTCCCCTCTATGTGCCTCAGTCTTTCATCTGTGAAATGGGAGTTTGGCCCAGGTGCCCCCCCACAGGTCCCCTGCCCCCAGGTGCCCCTCAGGCCCAGCTCTGACATCCTTAGACCAGAGCCAGCTGTCCGGAAGCCTCACCTCACGTCTCCTTCAGTGCATGCATCGCTGCTGGTGACCTGGGGTCAATTCTGGGATGTATATTTGGAAGTCGTAGATTGTATTTGAGAGCAGTGACTTACCTGAGTGACACAGTACAGTCAAGGGACATGGGTTTCCGTCCTGCCTCTGCCATTCCTTCGAAGATGTCCTTAGGTGCATCGCTCCCCTGGGCCTGTTTCCCCCTCTGAAAACTGAGAAAGGCCACCCCCCCTTTACACGTGATGGCAGAGTGGCGTTGCAGGCGGCGCTACTTGAAAGCATAAAAGCTCAGACCTAACAATTCAGCCTCTCCCAGCCGGTGGGGATGGACGCAGGACCTGAGGAGACCGGTGGGTTTACTTTTTGTTTTTTGAGGAGAGGTAATTTGTGCCGCCTCTAGCTCCCCACCCCCATTCCCACCCCAGAGGCAGCCACTGTCACCGGTGTTTTGGGTGACCTTCAGGGAGTATCTGTGCCTGTGGGGTCTGTGTTTTTGCCAAGCTCGCCCAGGCTGTGTCCTCTCGGGCTCATCCCATCCCACGGGATTCTTTATCGCCCTGCCTTGACTTCCAGGGGTTAACCACCTGGTGAGGCTCAGCCTGAGGGAAAACCTCAGCCCAGACCCGCTCTAGGTCCCGCAGACACAGACGTGCTCAGAGTCATTTTGCAACTGCAGCAAAACAATCTCCGCCTCCCTGGACTCCCAGCTGTGGAGGGTCGGATCTGCATGTCGCCTTCCTCCCAGAGAGGACCAAAGGCCAGGACAGATACAAACGCCCGCCCATAAGCCCTACGGCAGGTCCATTTTCCAAGGCCGATTGAAGCCAGTGCCGATAAAGCCATCAGGAGAGCAACGGTCTGGGATTTGCCGGGTTATCCGGGGGTGTTTGGAGCCCTTGGAGTCACAGACAACGGCTGTCACCAGAAACAACAGATGTTCAAAAGCCTTTATTTAATGAAAACAGGAAGCGCCCATTTCCTGGCTCCTTTTCCTCAGTGAGAAAATATCCAGGGTAATTTTAGCAAAAAAAAGTCATTTTTCCCCTAAATTTATTTATTTATTTATTTTTAATTTTGCAGCAATTTTATGTATGTGGAAAGCGTATTTGAACCAGATCGATGCTTCTGGGGTTTTAGTCTTAACCGTGGCTGGGTCCTCGGTGCCCAGAGCAGTTAGGTGTCCGATGGCCGTTTGTGCGACGAGAGAATGTGTGAGCCAGGGCGCAAGTGCCCAGAGCAGTGCGGGGGAGACCCACCGGGACGAGGGATCCAGAGGGCTCTCGAGTAGAGAGCCTTTCCCACGTGAGTGGGAAGGGTCCGACACATAGGCAGAGGGGACGGCAGAGGCAAAGGTAAGGAGGTGAGAAGGGGCGCCAAGTGTTGGGGGGCCGCTGGCTGCCCCGGTTGCATTTACAAGGCAAAGGCTAGCCAGGGAATTTGGAGCCAAGTTGGTTTGCATGTCCCTGTCCTGTGCTTGGCGCTATTTGTGCCTTGTCACAGAATCCACCCAGCCTTGCTGAAGGGTGGGTACTATCGTCCCCATTTTACAGATGAGGAAATCGAGGTTTGCGTGAAAGCCTGGGGCAAAGCCTAGCCCAGCCTTCTGGTCTCTGAGCCCTCTCTCCGCGACGCAGGGAAGCCTCCACTGCACAGAGGAAAGTGTAGGGTCCCTAAAAATTAGCCTCCTTTTCCTCATGGAAACTTCTTATTTGGAGAGGCCCAGAGGGTGGCCGGTTTGGGCTCCATACGACAGTCTTGAAAGCAAGGGTCTTTCTGAACACCCGTCACCTCATTCCCAATTCAGGATGTCCCACGGCTCCCAGTATCTGAAGGAGCAAGTCCCTTGTTCCAGCACCTTCTGACCACAGGTCCCTCTCTAGCTTCATGGCCACCAGCCCCTACCCCACACCCTCCCTCAGCCTCAGCACTCCCAGCTCACCTGCGGCATGGCCCGGGGCCCAGTCATACCTCAGGCCTTCTGTGCCTGAGACCTCACAGACAGTTCTTTTATTTTATTTTATTTTATTTTTGAGACAGGATCTCGCTCTGTCACCCAGGCTAGAGTTCAGTGGCATCATCATAGCTCACTGCAACCTCAAACTCCTGGGCTCAAGCGATCCTCCTGCCTCAGCCTCCTGAGTAGCTGGGACTACAGGCACGCGCCACCTTGCCTGATGAAGAAAAATCGCCTAGAAAAATTTTTCTATTTTTTGTAGAGACAGGGTCTTGCTCTTGCTCAGGCTGGTCTTGAACTCCTGAGCTCAAGCAATCCTGCTGCCTCGGCCTCCCAAGAGTGCTAGGATTACAAGCGTGAGCCACTGCACTTTCCACATCATGGACTGTTCTCTGGGGCCACGATCAATTTGTGTTCATCTGTGTGGCCTCAGACCCAGCACAGTGCCAGGCACCAGAGCCTCAGTTGGTGTGGACTGAAGGGAACCAACTCAAACATCCCCTCCTCTAGGAAGCTCTCCCTGATTTCTCCTCCCTACTCACTTCCTTGTAAAGTAACAGTGCCCTCTGTGCTCACTTGAGCAGCACATATATTAATACCAAAGTAACAGCACCCTCCTCTGTGCTCTCAGAGCCTTTTGTACAGGACTGTGCCAAAAACTCTGCCTGGGGACAAGAGCACAGATCTGACACGGAGTAACACTCCGTTATCTGAAAAAGGAAAGGTTATGGGAAAGAATCGGCTAGACTTGTTCTACCGTGGAGCCGTCGGTCTTAGAGGGAGTGGGCACCCTGTCATCAGAGGTGTGCAAGCAGAGGCTGGCCAACCATCTGTTGAGGACACCTGGGAGTGGCTCTAGGCAATGAGTAGAGGGTCAGAGTCCATGACCCAAAGTCCCTTCCAACTCCAAGACCTCAAGCATGTTTGAAACAAACATAACCTAAATTCCTCCGTCTGGGGGCGGGAGCCAGATACGGTGTGTTCCCAGAACGGCGGCTCTTCGCTGCCCTCTGGGGCAGGAGATGGCAGGCGGCGACAGCCAGGGCGCAGCCATCATGAGGACATCAGTAAATTACGTAAATGGGATCTTGGACATTCCACATCCCCACTCCCTCCAGCTCTGTAAAAAAGAGGTCACATTTGCTCGTGTGAGCAGCTGCTGTGCGTGAGGCAGAGGCCTAGTTCACGTGGTCCCCAAACCCTGAGTGGGCACACAAAGGCTCCCCCAGGCCCTGGAAATAAACCCGAGAGCAGGTCCATGGTCAGCTGGCCCCGCTCTAACCATTCAACGACAGGGAGATCAGTGCTGGCCGCCACAGAGCCGGTCTCTTAGACAACTCCGGCAACTGGAGAGGCCACCTCACCTGCACACGGAGCCTGCTCCTCCAGGGCACCCACTCCTCACACTGCCACAAGACGGCCGTGCTCGGGAGCTGGGCGTCCTCCTGCAAGCGTCAGGATGGAGCCCCTGAAGGAAGGTGACCCCCAGGCTGGGGCTGAGGCAGGCGGCTGCTGGCCAGGGCAGGGCAGAGGGGCAAGGCAGAGGCAGGGAGACCGGAGGGGTCTGGGCTGCAGCCCCACTTGAGACGATGGTGGTGGCAGCTGAAGGAGCAGCAGGCGGTGCAGATGGGGCGGACACAGGCAAGAGGTTTTCAAGGTCAATCTTTGTTCTTACAATTTCCAAGAGCAGAAAGGTGACCAGTAGGCAGGAGTTGTCCACAGTCAGGTTTTGGAGCAACGTTTCTGCTCTTCGTATTAATATTAGTTTCCTAAGGTGCTGTAGTAAAGTCACACAAACTGAGCGGCTCAAACAGTAGAAATTTGTTGCCTCATAGCTCTGGAGGCCGGAAGCCCGACCCGTCCGAGATGAAGGTGCTGGCAGGGTGGGTTCCCTCCAGGGGCTGTGAGGAGAGCCTGTTCCGCGCCTCCCTCCCAGCTTCGAGTGGTTTGCTGGCGAGCTCTGCTGTTCCCTGGAGTGGAGAATCGGCACTCCGATCCCTGCCTTCACCTTCTGGGGCATCTCCTTTGCATATCCTTGTGTCCAAATTCCCCCTGTGTAAGGGCACCAGTGACAGTGGACTAGGGCTCACCCCGATGACCTCATTTTAGCCCGATTACTTCTGTAAAGACCTCTCTCCAAGTAAGGTCACATTCGCTGGGGCTTAGGACTTCAATGTATCTTTTTGGGGGGACAGGTCAACTCACACAGTGTTCAGACTCTCTCAGCAGTGGCCTGGCGGGGCGGAGGTTGGAGTGAGCCCATGGCCGTGGTGTGCAAGAGGAGCGGGGAGTCAGACCCAGGCCTGAGAGTCTAACATGCTTTGGTCTTCCCCTAGAACAGGATTTTCCTCCTGCCATGTTCTTTCCCACTCAAAGATGTTTTGCAGCAAATATTATTTTATTATTTCTCACTGCCCACGGGTAAGAATTCATTTGTTTAGTTAATTTGTGTTGTGTATAAAGGGCTGCAGTGGCCCCAGGCTAGTTTTTGCGTCCTGTTTGCTGGGCAAACCCCCAGCTCTGCACAGGGGTGGCTACTGGGCCCAGTAGGGTGGGGTGGGGAGCCTCTCTGCCTTCTGATTGGCTGAGTCTGATCTGGCATGATTGGCCCAGACCTCTGTCTGTCATTATAGTCAGAGAAGGCAGGACACAATCCTTACTGTCCCAGTGAAATGGCACATTTTACATGGAGCATAGTCTGCCACACTTATTCCAAACCAGCGTCACATTCTGTAAATAGAATGCCCACAAATGCACATGTCCCCCCAAGAAACTGAAAATACACAAACAGATTTATAATCAACCAGTTTGCAGGAAGTGTATACATGGACAAAGCAGGAGCAAGTTTCATACACAGTAGTGGAGTGCTCCGCACTCCTTTCCCGGGCCAGATCCGAGGAGGTGTTTACTGAAGTATTCCAAAGTCTTCACCCAGGTCAGGACAGCCAATGGTTTTGTCTTGGGATAGACTATCATGGTTGACAGGTGGCGGCTGCCTGGGACTCTGCTGAGAACTACATCAGGGTTTAATCAGAGGATGCTGTGATCGATTAACAATGTCTGCCATGGGCACAGGAAGGCAGGCAGTGGCCCATGTGCTATACGTGCCGTCAGTATCTTGTGGTCGTCTAGTCCCCTTTCCGTGGAGCTGTCTGTGAGAAGGGCTCACTCTGGAATCCATGAAGGCAGAGAGGGCCTGCCCAAGGTATGCCCTTCCCCATGGCTCCCGCCCTCCTGCCCAGGTCCCAGAAGCCATTCGCAAGTGCCAGCGGGCGGGCATCACGGTCCGCATGGTCACTGGTGACAATATCAACACGGCCCGGGCCATCGCCATCAAGTGTGGCATCATCCATCCTGGAGAGGACTTCCTGTGCCTGGAGGGCAAGGAGTTCAACCGGAGGATCCGCAACGAGAAGGGGGAGGTAGGTGTCCCAGCGTAAAGGGTCCACAGAGGGAGGAGCTTGGGGGGGGGCTGGGAGGCGTGAGTCCTGCATGATTGTACAGAAGCCAGCCAGTGTGCCGCTGAGAGCCCAGTGACTGTGGCCAAGTCCCCTCCCTCCTCTGGGCCTCAGTTTCTCTCCCAGACCCCACTGACTCGCCCCCTCCCCTGTGCCTCTCCAGATTGAGCAGGAGCGAATCGACAAGATCTGGCCAAAGCTGCGGGTGCTGGCTCGCTCCTCCCCCACGGACAAGCATACCCTGGTCAAAGGTAAGACTTGGGTGGGCACAGGTGATCCTGAGGCCCGGCACCAGGCTGGCACTTGCAGCTTCTTCTCAGGAGAGATGGGGCTCCTGCCTGGCATTCTCCACACTGGGGGACAGCCTCTGTCACCCCCTTTTTCAGCCCTGGGAGGCCTGCTAGGGGCCAGAAGGAGATAGCGGCTGTGAGTCTTCCCTCTGGGCCTCCAGCTCCTCTAGGAAGCGGTGCTCCTGGGCCTGTGTGGGGTCCCGGACTCACAGCGCAAGGGCCAAGTGGGGCCCACAGGCGCTCTATCTGGCTGGCGCGGTGCCTTTTTAACATGGACTTTTGAATGACTTTATGCAGACCCTGCCCTCTCCCCTTGACACAGTCCTCACCGCCCGCACTGCCTGAAACTCGGCCCACTTCTCTCGTTCCCAGTCTGGCCCCAGAGCTTACAAGTTTGAGACCCTTGGTCTGCCTGGCCTCTGAGGCCCCGAACCAACATCTGGTGACCAGGACCCCAGGGATGGGCTGTTCTGGGAACAGTGACCTGAGAGATGAGGCCAGAAGCCAAATCCTTCTCCCTCCCGCCCCGCCTCCAGAGAGCCGGCGCACCACTTGCAGAGCCTAGGTGGCCAGTGCTGGGCACTTTTAGAGTCGCACAGTCTGGCTCCACCACTGACCTGCTCTGTGGCCTTGGGCAAGTCCCTCCACTGGGGGACTCAATGTCCCCCTCAGTACAATGGCTGCGGTGGGCAGGTTTCTGCCTGGGATCACCCCAGGGCATCTTGGACTCCTCTCTCAAAGGCGCTACCCGGGACATTAATGGAAGCAGATCTGGCCTGGGGACAAAAACACAGAACCCCAGAACCCAGACACTGGAGCAGAGGGCCCCCAGCCTGCCCCATTCTTATTCACTCACTCGTTCTCTCCATAGCTGTTTATTGAAGACCCACTGGGCGCCAGGCCCTGCTCTGAGCAGACATGGTCCCAAACTGCTGGAATTCCTGGGCCGGGTTCCATGCAGCAGACAGCAAACGGTGGCATCGCTGCACAGAGCCGCGGGCTGCGCTGCTGGCAGAGAAGGGTGTTCTGGGGCCCACTGCTGGCCGCCAACTCAAGCTAGGGAGATGTCAGGTTGCCATGGAAGGGCCATCAAAGCTGGGAAGGGCTCCAGGACTTGTGAGGGTCTGTGTTGGGGGCAGGGCAGGGAACTGCTCTGAGAAGGCCCAGAGGCAAAAGATCCCCAGACGCCTCCAAGGAGTGGAAGGAAGTTCAGCTGGCCAGGCCAGGACCTCAGGGCGAGAGAGGGAAGCCAGAGGGGGCTGGAGAAAGTGGGGTGGTGGCAGATCTTACAGGGCCACCAACACCTGCCAAAGGCACCTGGCTGTGACCTGCTCTGTGACCCCAGGCTTGGGAACGTGGGAGGGCCCAGGGGTGGGGAGAAGCATCATGGTTTCAGAACGCCCCCACCCCGTGGTGCAGAGAGTGGCCTGGCAGCAGAGGGACCAGCAGGACCATCCAGGCTGGAGAGGTGCTGACGGCACCCGTGAAGCTGGCGCCACAGCGATCTGACAGGTGTCTGGGTGGTGTTGGGGCACTGTGGGGGGGCTGGAGGAGGAGGGGCTGGGGTTCCTTCGGCCTGTCTGGGACCTTGCCTAGTACCAGCATGCGCCTCGGTTTTTGAGAGGGCTGCTGGGGTCAGGAGTCACAGAAGAGACATGCTTGAGGGGAAACTGACGCATCCGGGGCCCTACGACGTCCAAGCAGAGCTGTCGGGAAGACAGCTGCACACGAAGGCAGGAGACGGAGAGCTGGGTGTGTCTGCGAGTGGGAGGGAGGAGCCGCTGGACCAAGGGTTGCCGCTGCCCACCGCCCACCTGCGCGATGGCAGAGGCTGAGAACCCGAGGAGACAAACGGGGAGACGGCCGGAGGGCTAGGCGAGCGTGGTGTCGGGAGACAAGGAGGGAGGCCTGTGGAGGAGGAGGGTGCGGCCCGCAGTGGCAATGGCTGCTGAAAGGCCTGCAAGGACAGGACAGAGATGTGACCACAGGAGGAGGCCACAGGAAGGCCCTCGGTGACTGTGCCGGGCTGGCAGAGGGCAGAGGGGCCTGGGGAGGCCTCTTCCTGGCTCTGCGCTCCGGTGAGCGGCTGTGCAGAGGCCTGGGAGCCACCGGGAAGAAAGCCACCCTCTCCCTGCCGTGGAGGAGCACCCGGGCAGGCACGGGGCCAAAGGCCGGGTGGCTGAGCCTGCAGAGGCCGAGTCAGGGTTTGCAGTCAGCGGAGCACAGGCGCTGGGACTGGGCTTGCAAGAGGGTGGGGCCGCCGGTGCAGGGCCCCAAGTCAGGGAACAGGCTGCTGCTGGCTACGCGGATGGGGAGGAACACAGAGACCCTGTTAGGCCCTCGGGGGGTCACAAAGGCTTCCTGGGGAAAGTAGCTTCTGAGCTAAAAGTGCGGGACAGGCGGGGACAGGAGGACATCCGGCCAAGGGAACACCCTGTGCAGGACGGGCTGCGGGGCCAGCTCTGTGGGACCGCGAGCACAGATTGGAAGTGCAGCAAGGGCTGAAAGCAGAGAAGGGGTCAGAGCAGGGGTGAGGCCTGGTCACAGAGGACCTGGTAAGTAGAGCTAAGAACGTAGCTGTTCTCCTGAGGCTGAGGGGGACGCGCGAGAATGAAGTTCTTGTTGTGAGACTGGTGGGGCAGGTCCAGACGCGGGTGTTGGACAGAGATCCTGGGGTTGCGGGCGGGGAGCAGGCTGGAAGGAGCGCCCAGAGTTCATGAGAACAGCTGTGAGACGCTGGCGGCAGAGGGGATGGGGACAGAGAGAAGAGGAGGGTTTCGGCGGGATTTTGGAGGCAGAGTGGGCAGGCCTGGGTGATGTGTTCCATGTGCAGCATGAGAGAGGGACATGTCAAAGTTGACACCCCAATTCCTGTCCTGCCCGTGGTTCTGTCTGGACCCCCATGAGTGGCAAGTCCCACAAACTCCGCAGGCCCCCAGTGATGACATCCTTCCCCCACCCTTCTCCGCTGGCCGCAGCTCGTGACTGGGGCCGCACGTCATCTAGCCGTGCTGCTATGCATTTAATATTTTATTGAAGATGAATGTCTGGGGAGGGGTCGAGGCGAGAGCGGTGGGGCAGGGGTCACTGGCAAATGGCACAGCCAAGGCCTCCTCGAGCAGGACTGGCCTCCCCAGGGAGAAGGTGCTGGCGGGGCAGATGGTGGGACCCTGCTGCAGCCCTGGGAGCCTGGAGCAGCCCCTGAGTACAGGCAGAGGGGATAGTGCCTCTGGTAGGGTGGCAACCGGTGAGGCCAAGAGCTGCAGAGAGCAAGGGGGGCGGGGAGCAGAGCCCAGGCCCCAGAGGGGCTCAGGCCAGCCCGGGTCTAGTAAGGTGCCCAGCACACCCTGTGGTGCTGGCAGCTGTTCCCAGCCCAGAGCTGGGAAGAGCCACGCCAGGAGGAGGTGGCCAGGCAATGCCCAGGGCAGGGGCCTCCTGGGGGTCAGCGCTGGCCCAGACTGCCCCGCACCATGGTGGCCCAGGGCCCTGAGCACACTCCCGCCCCCACAGGCATCATCGACAGCACACACACCGAGCAGCGGCAGGTGGTGGCCGTGACGGGGGATGGGACCAACGACGGGCCCGCACTCAAGAAGGCTGACGTGGGCTTCGCCATGGTAGGAGCAGCTCACAGGGGCCCTGGGGTGGTGTCTGGCAGGAGCTCATAGGCAGGGGATCTGGGGGCTTGAACTGGTTGTGCCGGCCCCCAGTTCACACTCAGCCCGCCTGCCAACTGCCCTGCGTGTGTCCAGCGCCCTTGAGGCTCAGCCTGGTCCCCGGGTCTTCCTGGAAGGCTGCAGGGAGCCTCCTTGCTCAGGAGGGCTTTGGGAAGAGGGGCACTTGCGGGCTGGGCTGGAGCAGGGGCCAGAACGAGTCTTCCTGAAGGCAGAGAGTGGCTCAGGGGGCTGGGTCTGTGGGGGGCGTTAAGGGAGGGGTGTCGTTGTGTGGCCTGGCTGTGCTGGGCCCATCGGATGTATGTACGGGGGGCTGTGCAGGACTGAGGATGTGGCGGGGGTGAGGACGGTGGTGCCAGAGTCACTTGCATCCCCTGCCTGCCCCACCCAGGCTCCTGTCCCTGTCCCCGCAGGGCATCGCAGGCACTGACGTGGCCAAGGAGGCCTCAGACATCATCCTGACGGATGACAACTTCAGCAGCATTGTCAAAGCGGTGATGTGGGGCCGCAACGTCTACGATAGCATCTCTAAGTTCTTGCAGTTCCAGCTGACAGTCAACGTGGTAGCCGTGATTGTGGCCTTCACAGGAGCCTGCATCACGCAGGTGGGTCCTCAGGGGGGCACATAACAAAGCCTGGAGGAGGGTGGAGACCTCTACGGGGACCTGAGGTCTTGGGGCACCCCAGGTTGTCCGTGTCAGAACACCTAGGGATGGGGCACCTGTGGACGGAGTGCATGCTGGGGGGTGGGAGCTGCATCACAGACCTCAGGTGCAGGCACCAGCCCTGGTGGGGTCGAGGAAATGAGGTTCAGAGAGATGGTGTGACTTGCCCAAGGTCACCCAACAAATGGGAGATGTCAGACTCACACGCCCATCTGCCTGGCCCAGGCGCAGGCCTAGCCTTTGCTCCAGGAGGTGGGAGAATGAAGGCAGGGCAGGAGGGGAGGGGCAGGGCCCAAGGAGGTCAGGCGGCCAGCTGAGTGCAGAGAGCAGTGGGCCTGGGTGCCCTGGTCCTGGGGTGGAGTCTGGAGTGGCCCAGGAGATGCCAAGTAGGGGCAGGCAGCAGGAAGGGGCCCAGGGTTCTGTCTCACGGGGAGTCAGGGAGGGTCCTGTTGAGATCACCGTGTCTGGGTCCTGAGCAGCCCCGTGCAGTCTACAGACTCACTGCCTCTTCACCCGAGCGCTGCGAGGCAGGAACTGTGATGATCCCATTTTACAGAGGCAAAAACTGAGGCTCAGAGGATGGACCGGCCAGGCACCTGCCATGGCTCCCTCAGCCTCCTGGTACCTGGCCTGCCTCCTGCTGTGGCTGACCGGCCTGGCCTGGGAGGAGAGGGTGGGCTCCCTTAGCCCCAGGGAACCCCCAAGGCCTGACCCCTCACAGCAGCCACCTGGGCCGACCAGCCCCTGCCCACGGGAGCCCTCAGAGGCCCAGAGTGCAGCACTGCCCCAGAAGCTGTGTGGCCCCGGAACATTGCTCCCACCTTTGCATCCGGAGCTTGGGGGTGTCCCTGGTAGCTCCCTCTGCCCCAGCCCCAAGAGTCAGCCCTAGGGTGTGGCTGAGTTCCCTTCTGCTCCCAGGGCCCTCCCTCCTGGTCTGTGGTGAGAGGCTCCCTCTAGTGGCAGCTGGGGGGACACTCCCAGGGCAGCAGCAACTCACACAAGGCTTCTTGGAGACCAGGTCTTGATGCCAATAGGGAAACTGAGGTTCTCAGATGACTATCAGTTTGCCTGAGGTCTTCAATTGAGTTGGTGGCAGGGCCATGCAGACACTGGTGGGAAAACAGGTGGATGTGCCCCTGAAGCACGTGAAGTCACAGAAGACTGAAGGGCAGGAAGAAGCCAAGGGGTGGGGAGGCTGCTGGAGCCCCAGGCATGGGGAGCAAGGCTGGTCCCAAGAGAGGTAGGAGACGGGCCAGGAGGAGGGCTGTGGTGAGCACGTGGGAGGTGAGTGAGGGTATGGGCTGCAGGCACAGGGAGCCTGGGGAGCTGCACTGAGAGAGGACAGAGGTGCTGCTGAGCTTACCAGGTCTGTGGGCTCCCTGGAGGAGGTGTTCCACAGGCCACCACGTGGATGAGAGCAAAGCCACAGAGAGAGGTCTGGGCTAGAGAGAGGCTACGTGGGGGACAGGTGGGTCCCTGAAGCCAGGGAGACAGGTGTTGGGGAGAGCAGGGCCACCAGGACACAGATTTGGAAGGAGGGAGGAGGGCCAGGAGAGCGGGGCTGGGACAGGCAGGGGCCAAGTGCCGCAGTGAGGCCACGAGGTGAGGCTGGGGAAGAGCTCCCTCAGTTGGTGACACAGAAGTCAACGATGGCCTCGGAGAAAGGCATTTTGGAGGTGTGGAGGGGCCAAAATCTAGCTGCTGTGGGCAGAGCATGCAGTGTGAGGAGGGAGGAGTACAAGTGGACCCAGCCTCTTTGGGCAGTGTAGACCGCATGGTATGATTATGTGTGGAACCCTAAGAATAGTGCGATCCCCATCTCAGCCAAAGAGAAGGGTCTGAAGGGATCCCTGGCAGAAAGTGGACGGTGGTAACCTCTAAGTGGTGAGATCCTTGGCAACTTTCAGCTTCTTCTGCTATTCCTTACTTGCCCAAATTTCCCACCATGAAAATGCATTATTTTTGGAATCGTCGATGTACACAATAATTTTTTAAGGTAAGGTGGGGTGATAGGAAGCGAGGAGAAATTGAGGGACAGGAGAGACAGAAGGAGGCGGCAGGAGGGAGCGGGGCGGAGGCGGGGCCTTGCTGAGACAGGGGCGGGGCAGGGGATCAGCCTCAGCCAGGGGAGACCCCACACTGGGGGCTGGAGGGGAGGAGGTGAGATGGCGAGAGGCGGCTAACCTTACCGGAAGGCAGGGAGTTGGTGGCTGTCGGGCCTGGGGGACTTGGTTTTCTCCTGGGGGCAAGACAGGGTTGGGGTGGGGAGGTCTGTGCTATCCTCAGCCTCTCAGGAACCCCAGGGGCTGCTGCTCCCACGGGAGTCCTGCCTAGCTTCAGAGCAGCAGCAGGTGGGCCGTGCCGCCACAGACCTGTCCATGGCCGCTGTCCCCAGGACTCCCCTCTGAAGGCTGTGCAGATGCTCTGGGTGAATCTGATCATGGACACGTTCGCCTCCCTGGCGCTGGCCACTGAGCCGCCCACTGAGACCCTGCTTCTGAGGAAGCCCTACGGCCGCAACAAGCCCCTCATCTCGAGGACCATGATGAAGAACATCCTGGGCCACGCCGTCTACCAGCTCACCCTCATCTTCACCCTGCTCTTTGTTGGTGAGTCCCCCAGCCCGCCCAGCCCTCTATGGCAAGGTCACTGCCTTCTGGGTACACTGTGGCCCAGACCCAGCCTTCTGGAATCGCATCTGCCTCCTGTTTTGCTAGTGGAGACATTGAGGCCCAGGGAGCTCGAGGAAGTTGCTCAAGGTCATGCAGCCAGTCTTGGGCAGAGCCAGGCCGTGTCCCAGGTCTGGCTGACCCCACAGCCACCAGGGGCTTTTTCCACCGATGTCAGCTCTCGACACCAAGTACACACTGTGCGTGTCCTCACAGCCCCTGGGGGCCTCAGACTGGGAGGGGAAGTGACTCACCCCCACTCTGGCCCATTCCGGCACCTCATCATCGCTCAGGGAGGGTATCCCCACCGAGACCTCCTTCGGGAAATGCCACACGTGCCCAAATAACCGCCACCTCTTTTCACAGCGCTTCCACTCAGGCCACCTTGCTTCTGCCTTCTAACCACTCGGCGAGGCAAGCGCTTTGGCCTCCACCCCACGTTACACACGAGGGCACTGAGAATCAGAGAGGTGAGGTGACTTGCCCAAGGGCGCACAGCCTGTCTGAGGAGGAGCCTGGGCAGAGAACCAGGTCTGGCTGGGGCTGAGACTGGCCTGGTTTCCGTGGGTGCTTCAGAGAGGATCCCAGCAAAGCCTGCCCCCCGTCACAAATGGGGTAACAGGCCCAGAGACAGGAAGGGTCTGGCCCACGGCCACACAGCGAGCCAAACCAGTGCCGCGTCCCCGTCTGGGGCAGGCTCCCTTCACCTGAGCCTCCTGCAGCTGCAGCTTCACTTGTCCTCAGGCCCAGAGCACCACGGAGGTGGGCCTGGTCCTGCACCCCAGAGGACGGTCGTCTTCCGTGAGCTTTGAAGGCAGCGGGGTGCTGCCACAGGAGCCCGAGGGGCCTGAGGACACATTTCACTGCTGTAAAAAGCCTTAGAGGAAGCCGCATAATGCCAAGCTAGAAGAGGATCCGAGGACGCTGAGGGGCAGGGAGAGGAGAGGAGGTGGGGTCAGCTTGCTCACGGCGTCCCCACTTGAGCACGGCCTACTCTGGGTGGCCATGGGTTCAGCTGGACGCCTCGTCGCCAGAAATCTCCTCAAGCCCTCCTGGCACCGCTTTACTCAGCTTGGCGAAAGGATCAGGAGCGTGTCAGGCACCCCGTCAGTGGTGTCCACACGGCAGACCCCGAACCCCCACCTCATGCGCCAGCGCAGGTGTGAGAGAAGGAGGCCACACGGGGGGTTGGAGCCAGCTCGAGCTAAGTATAGGAACTGGCATCTCTTGTGACAGCCCCATGAGCTTCCCAAGGTCTCAGCAAGGGACAGGCTAAGTTACGAAAAGCAGCACTTTTAGGGGAGCCCGAAGCCACGGCCTCCCAGTGCGGAATGAGTTTGCCGATCTGCGCTCACTTTTTGCAAGCACTGTCACCTGGTCACGCAGCTCACGTTCCACCTTTGCCAGATTCCCGCAGAAAAAGTGGAAGACAGTTCCCCCAAGCTCTTTCTCCCCTAGAGGAGAAAGGGTGTTGCCAACCCTTCACGCGCACTCGCCAACCAGCCAGCAGCGCAGGCCCACCCCGCCCCCACTGTCCAGATGTGCCTTCACGTCCGGGCGATTGACCTCGCTGCCCAGAAGAGGCCCCCACGAGGGGCCGGGCGCATCCCCCGCCACCACCGTCAGCCCAGCCCCCGCCCTCTCCTTGGCAGGTGAGAAGATGTTCCAGATCGACAGCGGGAGGAACGCGCCCCTGCACTCGCCGCCCTCGGAGCACTACACCATCATCTTCAACACCTTCGTCATGATGCAGCTCTTCAACGAGATCAACGCCCGCAAGATCCACGGCGAGCGCAACGTCTTTGACGGCATCTTCCGGAACCCCATTTTCTGCACCATCGTGCTGGGCACCTTTGCCATCCAGGTAGCCAGGCCCCCGACCCCGGCCTGGCCTGGGGCGGGCGGGGAGAGGGCGCAGGCCTCCGTGCCTGCTCTGAAGGCCTGTCTCTGTCTTCTCTGCCCCCTGTGACCTCCAGATAGTGATTGTGCAGTTCGGAGGGAAGCCGTTCAGCTGCTCTCCGCTGCAGCTGGATCAGTGGATGTGGTGCATATTCATTGGGTTGGGAGAGCTCGTTTGGGGCCAGGTGAGTTCCGGGTCGGTTGCAGGAGGTGTCTCTTAGCGGGGGAAGGGAAAGAGCCCTGGATTGGGAATGCGGGAGCCCCAGGAGTGGGTCCCAGGCTCTGCCATGGGCTTACCGCCTGACCCTGGGCAAGACCCTCCCCATCTCTGGGCATCTGAGCAGTGGGCGTTGGCCCAGGTCCCAAATAGTGGTCCTCTGGGTACCACCACTCTATATTTTGCCTTATATGTGTGTACCACTATGCCTGTTATTTACTTAATATTTTCGTTCAATTGTATCAGCCTTTTTAAACTTAAACTTATTGGAAAAGGCGACTTTATATTACTGACATGACTGGAAAATCTGGATCGCTTGTCATAAATAGAAGCTAACAAAAAATTGATGTAATGAGAACGATGTTACTAAACTCTAGCTAGATGCCACACTCAGAGCCTGAAACCACCTTGTTAGAGAGGGACATTAGTCAGTGGCCTGCTAGCACTGAGTAGGGTCCTTTAGAGGGCTGAGAGGGAACGTAAGAGGGACAAACTGTGCCACATCGCAGTGTTACTCAGTGCTGTGCCTGTGGCCATCTGAGATCCTCCCCAGCTTTGGGGGCTGGGTGCTCTTCCAGGTTTAAGCCCAGAACATTCTCCCACCAGTTCCCTTCCCTGTTTGCCCAAGTTCCAGGTGCACACGTGTGTGCTCACACACACACACACACACCCGTGACAGCTCTGACAGCTTGCAGCTCAAAGACTCCTGACCCAGGACACCATGCTTAGGAGAAGTACCAGAACCAGTCCTGGGCCAAAGGGGCTTTATTCCCCAGGTACTTGGACATCCAGGTGGCAGGGACCCCACTGGGCCAGCAACATCGTTCTTGCCTTCCTGCTGTCTGCAGGCTAGAGCGAGAAGCTAAAGTGGCAACAATTAACTAGAAATAAAGAAAGTTTAGTTTCATCCAAGAGGACCTTCTTTAAACTTTGGAGCTTCTTTGGAAATCTTTTGAACTAGATTTGACTTAGCAACCCCATTCCCTGGGCACCCTCAGAGCTGGGCCATCTTTATCCCACGGGGAGCTCTTGGTGTCTGGGGGAAGGGACTCATAAGGACTAAGGTCGATGCCAGTGTGCAGTGCTGACCTTAATGGCCAACGAGCCCCTGAGGCTGAGTGTTCAGGCCAGCACCTGCCTGTCCCTGTGGGAGATGTAAGGGGCCACTGACATCTGCCACCTCAGCCTCCCTGCAGGGCCTGCCTCTCAGGCCTCAGCCCGTGGACAAGCCCTCTGGGGCAGAGCAAGAAGGAAGGCACATCCCCTTTCCATGTTGCCTTCCCAGCCGAGGAGTGGCCACCCCCAGGGCACCCAGGCCCTGCGCGCCATGTCCTCAGATAGAATGAGCCCAAGAGACCCGAGGACCAACCACAGGCCAGGCTCTTGCAGGACAAGTCAGACATTCCACCCCACTCAATCCTCACCACTCCCAGAGCTGCCCCCAGCTTTACAGACGGGAACGCCAAAGCTCAGAGAGGTTAAATGACTTGCCCAAGGTCACAGGACCAGGACCGTGTGGGGAATTCCAGGTCACATCTGCCCAACTCCTAAAGACCACGATTTTCCACTGTGGCCCCGACTCTGGATGAATGAGTCAATTAAAAAGGAAATTAATAAGAAATTGTAAAAGACTGAGTTGAGGGGCAGGTGAGGGGGGTTAAGGCGTGAATTGGTCACGTGACAAGGTAAGTGGGTAAGAGGACAGGAGGGAGGGAGGGGAGAAAACCACCCGGAAGGATGGCCCCATCGCCCTGACAGGCTGGTTCCCTTGCAGGTCATTGCCACCATCCCGACCAGCAGGCTCAAATTCCTCAAGGAGGCTGGCAGGCTCACGCAGAAGGAGGAGATTCCGGAGGAGGAGCTCAACGAGGACGTGGAGGAGATAGACCACGCTGAGAGGGAGCTGCGGCGGGGCCAGATTCTGTGGTTCCGAGGCCTGAATCGGATCCAAACTCAGGTTCGGGAGGCTCTCGGGGGCTGGGCCCAGGCCTGGCCGGGGTGGCCGAGTGTTGGAGGCGAGTGTGCTTGTGCCACCCCCAGGGCCCTGCTCTGGCACTGAGGGAGGTGGCCACAGAGGCGGCCTTGGGGGAGGCTTCTACGAGCCCCACCACAGGCCCCTCCAGGCCCGGCTGGCTCTCACCACCTCAGCCTGCTTTGTGCATCCACGTTCCTCAGATACACTCTCACGGCCACCGAAGACGCAGGCGGCCTCCTCAGGAACGTTCCGTCTAGAGGGGTCGCAGTGGGGTCACACCCACATGGGTCCTGGGGGGAGTTCCCCTGAGAGGTGGGGAGGGGTGGCTCCAGGGGCTGAGGTGAGGAGGGGACTGTGGCTCAGGGATCGGGGCAGCCCCCTGGAGGGGCGGTGCAAGGCTGGACAGAAGCTGCAGGCCAGGGTCGCCCAACTTCTCCCTGGACCTGGCAGTCAGCCTGGTGAGGTCGGCCCGTCCACACGCATGTGCAGCCTCTGCCTCCACGGGGCCTTCACCACTCCCAGCCTCCCGCAGGGTGAGGGCCCTGGGAGCAAAGGTCAGTGATGCCCACATGTACAGACACACGTGCACACCAGTACACACGTGCGAGCACACGTGCCGGGGGCACACCCGCCAGAAGTAGGTTTCTTCCCCAGAGCAGAGCGCGCTGGCCGCCACGTGGCACATGACAGAACCCCTACAGGCCTTCAAGGCGAGGCTCAGAAGGGACTATGAAAGCAAGACAGAGTGGGTCTCTTGCCCAGACCCCTGAGCAGCTGGAGCTGGGAGCTCATCCCCAGGCCTCGTCACACTCTGGGAGGTGTCGCCCAGGAAAACGTGCACCCACAATTCATCTCCATCCGGGGAAGCAAACGGCTCCCCTGCTGCTCCCCACCCTCAGTGCCCCGTCCCACACCTCACCTCGTCCGACCCTCACAGCCCCTGGGAAGTAGGTATGACCCCAGGCTTAGAGGTCACTGAGGTCCAACAGATGACCCTTTCTACACAGCTGCCACAGCTGGGACGGGGACCAGGAGCAAGTTTCAGACCTGGAGCTGCCTGCCACAGGCCTGGGCTCTGCTGCCCTGACCAGGACCCTGGCAGCCAGCCCTTCCTACCGGCCCCCACTTTCTGTGAGGGGCTAGTCAACTCTCGAGGCATATGGCCCTGGTGCTGTCACTGACCTGGCGGCAAAGCCACACGGGGGTCTCCAGATTATGGGAGGAAGGACTATAGTTTCTTGAGTGGACACGAGCACCTCTCTTGCCTGTCTCCTACTGAGCGCTAACCTGGCCAAGTGCTTTGCCACTTACAGATGACTGTACCAGGCAGGCAGGATTGCCCCTTCTCAAGGACAGGAAACATGCTCAGAGAGGTGACTTGCCCAAGGTCACCTAGCTAGTAAGCAACAAAGCCGGAATTTGGGCTGAGGTCTGTCCACCTCAGAGCCCCCAACACACCACTGTGGCTCCACGCCTGGATCGAGGGAGGCTAAACACCCACTCCCATCCCTCCAAACGCCATGTTCGATCACCGTCTTCCCAGCCAGCCTCTGCCCAGCCCACTGGCCCCTGAGCCACTAGTGCAGGGAAAGGCCTGGGCCTCTGTGTCCTCCCTGGGACCCTGGGGCCTACAGGTGGGCCCAGAGCTGAGCAGACATCTTTCAGAGCCTTGGAGTGTGTCTGGTATTTTTGTTTTGATTTAAGTGATGTTGTCGTTGTTGCCGTGGCTGCAGCTGTTCTCGTGACGTTGCGCCTGTCAGTCTTGTAGCTGTTGTGTTCGTTCTTCTCGCAACTTGTCTCGTTCTCTCCTCCGTTGCAGATTGAAGTAGTCAATACTTTCAAGAGCGGGGCCTCCTTTCAGGGCGCCCTGCGGAGACAGTCCTCCGTCACCAGCCAGAGCCAGGACGTAGCCAATCTCTCTAGCCCTAGTCGCGTGTCGTTGTCCAATGCTCTTTCCTCTCCGACCAGCCTTCCTCCTGCTGCAGCTGGGCGTGAGTGTGACTCCTTACCGCCTCCGTCTGGCACCACCAACGCCAGCTCCCGGGCGGGCAGGCGGGCAGGGGCTGGGGTACCAGAGGACACGGGGGGCAGCCGGTCACCGTTAGGCCCAGGGGGCTGAAGGGTCACAGCCACTGAAGAGGGTCCCAGTTGGTCAGATCACAGCCAGTCCTGGGTGGCAGTCACTCAGCAGGTCGGGGCAGCTGGGGTCAGGGCCAGGGGTTCCAACCAGGCAGTTGGGGGAGAAGGGGTTAAGTGGCCAGAAAGTCCAGGCCACTCAAAGAATCACCATCGGTCAAGAGGGCTTCAGTGATCAAGTGGCCCCAATGCACCACGGGGTCCTGGTGGCCAAAGGGACTGAGTGGTCATCGAGGGGACACGGAGTGTCCCGTTGGCCTGTGGTCATACCTGAGTCAGGAAAAGTCTGGCCCACGGGGGCAAGGGTCAGAGTTGGACAGGAGGCCACAGTCTTGCAGTCAGTCAGGTGGAAGGTTGCCAGGGGCCAAGGGATAGAAGCCCCTGGGGGGGTCACAGTCAGTCACAGTGGGGTCCAACCAAGAGGGGGCCACGTCATCTGGGGCTTTCCAGCTGGTCAGGGAGGCCCTCTCAGTGGGGGTCATGGTCAAGGCAGATGGTTGAGGCAAGAGGTCACTGCAGGTCAGAGGTCACAGTCAGTCAGAGGTCCCAGGTCACCAAGGAGATGACAGCCTGGAGGCCTCACCCCAGCAGTTCGGAATCTCTGCTTTCTTCCCGTCATTCCTCCCCTCGCACATCTGACGACATCAGCTGCCCTACAAACACTTTTCCCTGCAGCAGAGGTTGCAGCACACTGAAGTTCTAACCCCTTCCTGGAAGGGACAAGGCCTCTGGCCCATTCAGCTCGACCTCAGTTAGAAGATGGCAGGTGGAGCCACATGTCTCAGCTGGGTGCCAGCAGGCCCTGAGGGATCGGGTCTAACCCTCGGCATCCTGCCCTCCTGTGTGTGAGGGATAGCCCGGGTCTCTGGCCTCCTCCACCTCCCTCCTGCCATGCTCACCACCTCACGCCACCACTTCCGACCTGGCTCTCACTGCTGGGCTTGTCTAGCTCTGTCCTGGACCTCGCCATGGCTTCAGGCCCCCGAGGGAATAAGTCCATGTGCCACCTGCTGCCCTCGCACTGTCTCCAGTCAGCTCCTCACAAAGTGCAAGGGAGCCCCTGGTTCTGGTCCTGTCAGCTGACATGGCGTGTTTGTGGTCTTAGCCAGCCTTCGACTTCTTTGATAAGAAACAGACTCCAGGCCTCATCTCTTGACACTGTATAAAGGGCCTCTCCCCCATCCCAAAACAGAACCACGACACACCGCCCGCCACGGGGCAGGAAGGGACCCGTGTGCTGGGTGGGACCTAGTCCCTCCCCGCCTTGCCCTCTGGCAGGAGGTGCAGGCCCAGAGAGCCTGTGGGTGGGACATGCTCGTGCCCCTGCCCTTTCTACAGACACAGTCGTGCCCAGGACACAAGCCGACAGGAGAGATGCAGAAAAGGGGAGTCCTTCAGGGTTCAAGCGTCAGCACAAGCACAGTCTGGGCAGGCCAGGTGCGCCCAGACAAAAGGGAGACGTATTGGAGTAAACGGTGTCTGAGTCATGTTTCCATGAGGGACTGTCACTAGGAAGTCACTGGCAGGCGACACTGTTCCCATCCTCCTCCCCTTCAGACCAGAGAGCCCTGCCTTAGTGGTAGCCCTCGCCAGCTACCCCTCCACTCCTTCCTGTCCCCGCGTCGGCTCCGCTCAGGCCTTGCTCAGCACCACCACCTGTCTCAGGTGCGGTGACACCTGTCCAGGCCTAGAGAGCTACTTGGGGAAGAACCCATTTCTTTCAGTTCCTGCCACCTCGCCAGGTGACTCCTGCATCCTCTGCGGGGTCTGACTGCCAGGAGGCTGGCTTCTGGGTGCAAGCCTGCTTCTTTGTTCATCCCAGTTCAGCCTCTTTCTTGAAGGGTGACACTTTGCACTGGCCACGACAGAGCACATCGGACATTCCTGGGTACCCAGGCAGCCTTGGCTTAGCCCTCATCTTAGCTTTCACAGTCTCAAACACAGTCCTCTCAAACCTCAGCCACGTCATTCTCACCTTTTCTCTTGCATCATTTATATTAATAAAACCGTTCAGTACAGCCACTCCCGACAACACTTCTCCTTCAGAGAAATGCCCTTTTATGCCCACCCTTCACTTCCTACCCCCAAGCCAGTCGTCTTCCAGGCCAGATCCGTCCCCATTAGCCTGTGGTGACCCCGGCTTTGGCACAGCCTTTGGAAAGGAGCCCAGGCAGAGGCTCGACCACACTGACTTGACAGCCCTTGCCCTGACCCCTCAACCCTCCCCCAGCCCACCCGGCCCCTAGGTATCACGCTTCCTTAAGAACCTTGCCCTTGGCCGGGCGTGGTGGCTCACGCCTGTAATCCTAGCTCTCTGGGAGGCCGAGGCGGGCGGATTGTTTGAGCTCAGGAGTTCGAAACCAGCCTGAGCAAGAGCGAGACCCCGTCTCTACTAAAAACAGAAAGAAATTAATCGGACAACTAAAAATATATAGAAAAAATTAGCCAGGCATGGTGGCGCATGCCTGTAGTCCCAGCTACTCGGGAGGCTGAGGCAGGAGGATCGCTTGAGCCCAGGAGTTTGAGGTTGCTGTGAGCCAGGATGACACCATGGCACTCTAGCCCGGGCAACACAGTGAGACTCTGTCTCAAAAAAAAAAAAAAAAAAAAGAACCTTGCCCTCCTACCCTCTGTGGTTCTGGGTCCCTTCTCAACCCTTCCTTAGGCATGTGGTCTTGAAAAGAGCCTGACCATCCTCCTGCCCAAGGGCTCTGGTTCCAAACGGCACCACAAGCCCCATGGTTTCCACACACACGTTAGAAAACACAGTCGCAGTGCACACTCTACATAAATTGCCCCCGTCCTTTACGTGGATAGCTCCGAGAACAATGTCACCTCCTCTGGTTTCCAAGAATGCAGAGGACCCTCAGATACCAGGCAAGGTCCCTTCAGAAGCCACAGTGCTTTCTTCCCACAGGGAGGTTTGAAGGGGGAGGCCAAGAAGCAAGAGAAGGGCCCCGCCCCCACCTCCTCTAGTGGGGTTTCTCCAGCAGAGGCAGGTGGCCACGCACCTGCCGGGGCAAAGTCCCTGGGTCTGTGTGCCCTGGAAGGAGTCAGACCTCTGTCCCCTGGGTTATCTAGAGTTGACCACAGAGGCCAGGGACAGGGCCTGACGCATGAGGGGGGTGAAGAAAGCCCCTGAAGCGGGACAGACCCCTCCCCCAGCACCGCTGGAGGGCCCCGGCAGACAGAAACCGCGGTGAGCAGGACAGTGCCCTCACGAGGCGCGTGGCACGAGGCTGTGTGGGAGGGAATCCTGGCGCACTCTCCTCCTCTGCTCTTCTGACTTACTCAGAAATGAGGGTTTTCCGCCCAGAAACTCAGTGGTGCACCCCTCGTGCCGCATACCTGAGCCCCGTGAGTCTTCCCAAAGCAGTTCCCCACCCCTCACTGCACAGCTGCCCCACATCCGACTCGCAGGGAAAGACACTGACGGGCCAAGGTCACGCGGCAGGGGGGTGGCAAGAGGCGGCATTCTTCCTGCCACCCCACGCCACTTCCCGGGCAGGCCCGCAGACCTGGAGCCCCCAGAGTTGGATTTCCATTCCACAACCAGTGCCCACGTGCCCGGCCTCACGTAGCGAAAAGCAGCCAACCCTCCCGGGTCCAGAAAGCCAGGGAAGCTGTGTGTGCTTGGATGTCCAGCGCCCGGCAGGGCTGGGGAGAAGGCGATCAGGGATAGCGTTAGCATCCCGTTCTCCATCCAAGGCCGAGCTCACAGCCTCTTTCTTATCACCTCAGATCTCTAACTCAGCTCGAAGCATCTTTGTACTTGGCAAGTCTCTCGCAGGCTCCATGCTCAGCGAGAGTCCTGCTCCCTCCAGCCAAGCAAGCCAAGAGCAAGGAGCAGGGCCCAGAAGCCAGGCCCCAGCCCCGCTCTGCACCCTATGCCTTGCTAACAGAGAGGGCACCTCGTACTCCCACCTGCCCTTCAGATTCCTGGTCCTGAGAACACCTAGGGCCAGGAGTTTGTGCTGTCAGGGGGAGAAATGAAGACAATGAAAAGGGAAGAAAGCTGGACTTCTCATTAGCATTTTGGTAACTAATTTAGTGCAACCTTGGGTTGGCAAGAAAATGGCCTGCTTCTGGGGGGGACCCTAGACCTCTCCGCTATCTGAATATTCCATGTGTTTGTTTCCCTAGAGGGCTAGAGAACCCTGGACACAGAGTTCAGCAAGAGAGAGTGAAATTAAAAGAGGTTGTGAGTCTTTAACCTTGAGCCTGAAATGAATGTGAATCAATCCCAGACTCTTGGCTTCCTTGAAGCCGGGTAAACATTCGAGTATGTCGACCCCACCTCAGAACGGGGCCCTCGGACGGCAGGCGTGGGTCTGCCTGCTCCCTCTGTGCTGATGAAACCAAAACGTCTGGAATCCCACCGCCAGGTCCCTTCCTCTCCTTCCCCTCGCCCCCACGCCCAAACGTGGCTTAAGCCAAAAACACTCCACCTTTAGGGTAGGCAGGGAGGGGAGATGGAAGAACTTTTTTTTCTTCCTGTATTTTTTTTTCCATTTCAGCCTAGGAGAGAACCGAAGCGGAGACTCGAGATGGCCGTGGCGGGGTGTCCCGAAAAGTCTTGTCCCCACAGTCTTGTCCAGAGCAGTTCATTTTTTCTGTTGTCTCCATGCCAGGGGGAGGGCAGAGGAACCTCATCTCATTGTATGTCATCCCCTCTGCGTTGTTCAGTCACAGGACAGGCTCCTGCTCCACCCCCTCCCCCTACATACACTAGGTGTCCCAGTTGGCATCTTATTGCAGTTCAGCCTCAGAACATGCTGGGCACTAGGCCGGGCGGTGCTGCGATGACGATTATTCCCATTCTGCAGATAAGAAAATTGAGGCCGGCAACACCTTTTTTGGTTTTCACTCAATCACGGGTGTAATGGCCCACCTATCAGGAGATCAGAGTATTAGCAATCTCTGCCAAGCCACTAACAGGGAATCCAGGGGAAAGGAATCTCAGAGCAGCAAAATGGCCATGACGAGCACCAACACATGCTAACGCAGTGTCTGGCTGGCTCCTGCTTGGCACCTGTTGCCTCTTATTTAAAGCACGATTCTAGCAAACAAGGTTTCCAGAAGTCCCCAGCCCACATCACATGAGAAGGAGAAGGGACAGCAATGCCTTCTAGAAGACAAGGAAAGGTCAGCACTAACTAGTAAGTGATGGCTGACAGCAAAGGAGAAAACTTCAAGGGAAAAAAAAAAAACCAAACTCTGGGGTCTTACTCAAGACCAAGAAGGATGACTGACAGACTTTATGTTAAATTCTCTCTGTGCACTCTAAATTAGAAGGCAGAGAAGCATATGATGTGCTTTAGAAAGACTCCCCTCTGAAACAGTAAAATAAACCTTCGGTGATAACACTTAAATCATCCACCACAGTCATCTAGAAAAATCACTCCCATGGAAAAGGGCTTTCCCCACTAGTGCCCCACAAAGGAGCTACCCCTGGCTTCAGCTGAGGGCTCACGTCCTGGGACTCGAAGGGCCTCCCCACGACCGTCTCGTCCAGTCCTCTGCCTCCCTGCAGGCCCGTGGCATGGGGCAGCCGCTGCTCTGCAGGCAGGTGCCACTGGGCCTCCGCACGTGGCTGGCTAAGGCTCTGCCCCTGGAGGTGTCAGTCCCCCTGTTCTCTCCACCTCTCACTCCACTCTGAATTGGGGCTGGGACAGGAGCAGGAGGCACCTTTGCCCCATCAGACCGTTGAGATGACAGGCACGGCTGCCCTCCCGGAGTGCAGAGAAGGGACACCTCTCTTCCTAGTGAGGGTCCTGTCCCTCTGCACCCTGTGAGGCGGGCCAGAGGGTGACCAGAGGGTAGTGTGGCTTGCCCACAGTCAAGGCACCACAGTGGCAGAGCCAGGACTCAGGCTCAGGTCTTCCTGCCTCCAAGTCCAGTGCTCTTTCCACTTGCCTTGAAGACCCAATAACCAAGCTCCCGCTATTCTCCAGAGGAGAAAACTGAGGCCCCGGGAGGCGTAGTTCACAACTGACACACGGAAAACGAAAGAGCGTGTTGTTTTGTGGCTCAGTCCCACACACCCCCAGAATCCCACCAGGGGCTGGGTTTGGCTACCTGATTCTGGCCTCAATTTTTTGGTTTTGTGTTTTCAAAGCACAAATAAAGAAATAAACAAAATCCCCCAGGAAAGAAGGGACCCCAAAGCAAGCTCCAATGACTGGCCAGGGCTTTGAGTCTATACTCGAGTGTTTACCTCCCAAATGCATGAAGGAAAGAAACGCTGGGTACAAACGAGCTCCGTTCACATTGTCCAGGCTTCCAAGTGTAGGCGTGTGTCCGTCTGTGTGTGCCGTGTGGTTCCTGCCCCCCGCGTGGCATGCTCCCGGCCCCTGAATGTCATCAGTCTGCCGGCTCCTTCGTGCTCTCTGGCTGCCTCTGCTGTGCACCCGAGAAAGCCCTGGGTTGGCTTTGGTTTGCTTTGCTGCCTTCGGTTTGAGGTTCCCGTTCTCTGTTTGGCCCTCATGTGTCTTCTCGCATCCCAGCTCATCCAACCGTTTCTCCTGTCTGTTCCGTCTCTATCTGTGACACGTAACCTGTTCCATGTTGTGTGGTTTTTTAACTGTGTGTGGTTTTTTTAAGATTAATTTGTTTGCAGTAGCCTCCCTCCTTCCCACTTGATTCCTACCTGGTCCTACTCCCCTTCTGCATGGTCGAACCTCTGCTTTAAAGTTAACAAGGCTCAGTCTCTCACTAGGTCTGGGTGCCCGCCGGAGTCGGCTATGCTTCCTTTAACCACTGTTTCCCACCATCTCTTTGATGGTGCTCAGTGATTCCTCCTGTCCTGAGACTGTAGTTCTGACCAAAACCAAAGCAATTTAAAAAAACCAACTCATGGATGCATATGCCCTGAGCCCCCTCTTCAACTCTCCCCCACCCTGTCAATGCTCATAACACCCAGCGACTGTGGATTCCAGCCACCTGCTGTGCCCTAACCTTCTCCCACCCCCGTGAGCTTCCAGCCTGGCTGCCAGCCCCCCAGGGCAGCGCCTGACTCCTGTGCTTCCCTTGCAGATCCGCGTCGTGAAGGCGTTCCGTAGCTCTCTCTATGAAGGTTTAGAAAAGCCTGAGTCTCGAACCTCCATCCATAATTTCATGGCTCATCCTGAATTCCGGATCGAAGATTCACAGCCCCACATCCCCCTCATTGACGACACCGACCTGGAAGAAGATGCCGCGCTCAAGCAGAACTCAAGCCCGCCGTCATCGCTCAACAAGAACAACAGCGCCATCGACAGCGGGATCAACCTGACGACCGACACAAGCAAATCAGCTACCTCTTCAAGTCCAGGGAGCCCCATCCACAGCCTGGAGACATCGCTTTAGCTGAGGACCCTGTCGCCCACCCACCTGCCCGCCCTCGTGGACTCCGCCACCACCTGCCTCCTGGGCACCCACCCATCCAGGCACCCAACTCACCCAAGCAGCAACGAGCAACAACAGGAAACCAAATACTGGAGAGAAAACCAATGTTTCCACCAACAGACCCTTTCTCTGGCTGCGATGCTGTTTGAACTCTTTTGCACTCTGAGGCAAGGGGCAGGATCTCCACCGGGGGCTTAAGGGACTGAGCACTTTTCCCAACACAAGCCCTTCCTGGCTCCCACCCAAACATGGACCAGCCATGCACCCGCCCGGCCACCATGTCCCCCGCATGAATGTACTGTACACTTTCAATCCTCCCCTTGTTTGGTTTTTGGGGGCTTGGGGAGGGGTTTTTTGTTTGTTTTCTTAGGCAGGAACTGCAAACAGACTCTTTTCTGAGACTATTTATCCAACCCACTGGTCTGTGAGTTTTTGAAATGCTTGCACAGCATGGTCTCGGTTGTATAGATTCATTTAATAATTTTTTGAAATTGCAGAGCTTAACTCGCCAGTAGATTTGCACCAATGGAACCGAAGAACTTCATAGACACTCACAAGGTTATATCCATTTCTTTGTATCTATATCAACGTATACTTCTCCATGACTGTATACGTCCATATAGATAGGTAGATATATATATATATAAATATATATACTTGGATATATAAAGTTTCTTTGCCGGCATGTTGCCTTGTTTCTGCTTAAATTGCTCTATTTTAACTTATTTATGTCCCAAAAAAAGAATGTAATTTGTTTACAAACCTGGAAATAGTGTCTTTGGCTATTTGTATGGTTTAAGAACACTGGTGGCTGAGATGCTATGAAAACAGCTCAGCCCAACAGACACTTCCCTGGATTGCATCCTTGATGTTTTATGATAGCCATGCTCTGATTTTTGCCTGCTGTTTCCGTTCAAGGATGTCACTACCGCAGGAGGCTCAGGCAGAAGCCAAATGCTACCAAGTATCCATCCTGAGGGGTTTAACAACATGCTCTGTAGACAAAGGGAGAGGAGGAGAGAAGGCTTCCTGGATTTGCAACATTGGCGGCCACCCCAGCCCATGGCTGCCAGAACCTGCAAAGCTCTGGTCAAAGACTTTTCTCTCAATGAAACTTAACTTGAGTTTACTAAGAGCATTTCAAACATATGTTCTCTTTGGCTCTGTCTGTACAGAGATTGAGGTAGTGTTGAAATATTATAAATGCTATTGTGTTGATTTTTTTTAGTCAGTAATTTAGAGGTTTATTTCCTTATAAATGACAGTGTATGAGCTGCTGGCCTATTGGATGAGGATCGGTATGGCTTATTGCTTTTATTTTTGAAGAATAGCCTCTTTCTCTGCACTATTTAGATCCGAATGAACCTTATGATGTGTATATTGAGATGTATTCAGTGTGATTTTTAAACCAAATTGTCTTCCTGTAGTCACAACATATACTGTAGCCTTTTAACAGCAAGTCTTGCTTTCCCAGACAGAAAGCCATTCTGAAACCCTGCAGTATCACAGGTGAGAAAAGGTGGTTATTTTCCCCCAAAACAGTAACAGCACTAGCAATTCCACTTGATAAGAGCTTATTTAATTGTATGTCAGCCTGTTAACTGCTAAGCACTTTGTGGGTCTCAGCATTTTTCATAAAGGAACTTTTGTATTTAATACAAAGTTTGCTTTGAGACTTTTCAGCATACGATCTTTTTCCATAAACTTGTACAGTGCAAAAGACATTTTGAATACCATGATCGATGATGTCCCATGCTTCAAGGAAAACCAAACGCTTTCCGCCTTGCTTGCAAAATCCATTCCTCGTGGTGACCCTCCCCATCTCCAGGCCCAGAGAACTCTTCCACAAACAAGATGAGAGCCACTTGGGAAAAGAGCCATAGTCAGCTGGGAGGGCCTACGTCTGGATGGCTGTGGAAAAACTTGAGGGTTTGGGATTCAAAGTCAGCCCATCCCACCTGGCAAAATCCATCTGTAAGAGGACCTTCTTTTCGAGAGAGCACTACTTGAATGTTGTGAAGAAATATCTCTGAATGTATCCAGCAGAGGACACTGCACACCCAAAGGGGTGACCAGTCCTCAGATGTGCTTCTTGGATTCCGGTACAAACACCACCAAAACCAGCCCACTGCTCTCCTCTGAGGAAGGAAAGACCTGCACATCTAAAACATGGGGCAGCCTTGGAACATGGTGTTTTTTTTAGTTTCCTTTCTCACAGTTTTCCATCTTCCCTTTCTTTGTTCACTCATGTGTCCGTGACCTCATTCCATGACCTCAGGATAGTTCTGCCTGCACACCGTGCTCCCTGTTCATCTGGAGCCAGGACACGAGGAAAAAGGAGGGGTCCTCTGAGTGGAGCCTAGCTCGGGAATGGGGAGTGATGGGAGGCTGCCGGCATGAGCGCTGGGCTTCTCTTGTGAGGAATGAAGGATGCTCGCACACACGCACCCCTCACTCACACCTGCACACACATCACACACAGGAGATGGTTGGTTTGTCAAAACTCACTGTAGTACATAAAGCTTGCACTCTGCGTCCTATATCTAGCAGCATGGGGTACGTTTGGCAGTTCACCCCATTAGGGGGTAAATAATTTATGACCATCTGTTTTTATGAATTTTTTTATCTAGACAATAATTGTAAATAAAGAATTCACCGTCTCTGTTCATTTAATACTATGCAATGGTTATGCTTTCAATTGCTGACTCTTCTGACTCCCGCAGTGTGGTTCTGAAATGTCTGTGGTTTAAAAAAAAATAGACAAAAAACAACATCAAGCAGAACATAGTAAATATATACTCTGTAATGTATACTTATTTCTAGTTTGGGACCGCAAACTAGCTTCTTTTCTGCCCTCTGGACAAGGGCTCCAGGAGAAGGTGGCACATTCAGTTCTGAGGCCTAAGCTCCCCAGCTTGTCTCCCCCACGACAGATGGGGGAAAAGCAGCAGGCCCATTAGGTGACTCCTGGAACACAGAATCCCCACCTGGGGAGGTGAGCAGGAAGAGCTCTGAGGAATTTCCTTTTTACCGCTCAGAGAGAGCTTTCCCTAATTCAGGAGCAGCCTCCATTGCTCCTGCCACCCCTCACCATGGCCCCTTGTCCCCACCACAACAGAGAGCTGACAAGAGCAAGGCCGCCCTGCTTCTGATGACAATTACTACACTGGATTGAGGACTCTGAACCTGTCTTGTCCTGGGTCCCCCAGTTATTGAAATGCCACCTTTTCCACGTGCTGACAGCGTACTTAGACGTGGGTCTCTTTCTGGAATTTCTCTTCTGTCCCCTTACCTGGGTGTCTCATCTGGCAGCAGCCATACAGTTTTAATATTGTCACTTTATAATTATTTTGTACGTGGTAGGACGAATCCTCTTCACTCTTCTTTTACAAATGTCCTGGTATTCTCTGACATCTATTTTTCCAAGTCAACTTTAAAATACTACCAAGTCCTCTACCCCCACCCTACTTGCACCCCACAGTGTGGGCCCTGTCTTCTGTGTGCCATCATCTTCCCCCGCAGTCATTACCGTGCACTCAGGGCTACAAAACAGAGTGTGTCCTGTAAGGAGGGACAAAAAGGGCATCCTGACTCTTGAGGAAAGCCTGATGTCCCTCCCATCATTTCACCTGTCCCCTAAAACCTGGGAGTTGTCATGAGAGGCCGCCAAGTCCCCATGCTATCTCAGCTTGGGAACCAAAGTCACCCACCTTGGTTGCGCTGGGGTAGACCCTCCACCTACCCCTGGCCGAGGTGAGAAACGGGTTTCTCTCCAACCTGGAGCTGGGAAAGACCATGTGGCCCAGGTGTCTGTGCTTCTAATTCTCAGCACAGAGAAAACTTTCCTGTCTCCCTTTCCGAATTGACTTTTGGTCTGGTCTGGTTCCGTTTGAAGCAGGGGTCGCCTCTTGCTCTGTGAGCCAGAGTCTTCAGCACTTTGGGGTGCGGACATTTCTTGCCCTGACTTGCTCAGCACCCTTGCTCCCCTCAGCCTATTCTTGCTCTACCTACAAGAGGCTGCCAACCTGGTGCACTCTGACAAGTCTCCCACCCAAGTCCCTCTCCTCCCACAGTGTCCGAAATGCCACCATTAGCGGATCTTGGGAGGAGGGGTGTTTCTTGAAGGCTTTGGGGCCTTCCAGAGCCAGGGCCGAAATCAGACAACAGCAGGAATCCCCAAGTCTTTTCCACATTCCACATCAAGCTCTCCTGATTTCAATGTAGAGATCACACCCACCCTGGGCAGCAGCCGTCACCCCTCCACCGAAAACAAGATATTTGAGGCTGCTTGAGGACTGCCCTTCTCAGCCCCCACGTGTTTCGTAATGCCTGTGGTGCTCTCCCTCCCCGACCTTTCTCTCGGGGGTCACCACACTTTGCTAACTCTTGTGTGCACATATTTTATAGCAGAGTAGCGAGGGAACGGTGCCGCCTCCAGCTTCCACAAGCTGCCAGGGCTCTGGGGGGCTCTGGGAAAGTCGGGGCTGGGAAGTGACTGTGCTCTTACTGTACACTCTTTATTTCTCTGTATCTCTGGCTTGTGCTCTTTGTAATTAATGGGATTTGTCTGCCTTTTCGACACTATACTGAGCAATAACAATAAATGCACACGTGGAAACGCAGACACCGTACACATCACAAGGCCTTTTTCCGCAGGACAGCTGCGCCCCTGCCCTCCGTGGATGTGAACTGAGGGAAACTGAATCCCTGGGAGGGAGGGCACTTCGTCCAAGGGCACACAGCTCAGGGGGTGATCTCTCTCCTCCCACCAGGTCACACCTTTGAACATCCACCATTTGAGGAAGACAAGCTTACCCTGCCATGAGCCATTAACCTATGAGGAATGGCTGGCCATCTCAGAGAGGAAGACTTTGGGGGAAGGGACCTCAGGAGGAAGAGGAGGAGATTCAGGGGTAAAGGGGTTGGGAGGTGGGGAGCACAAATTGGAGAAAGTTAAGAATGGCCTGATTTGGGGTGTGGATTAACCAGAGGAAGGAGATGGGAAATATGGACACAGGATGTGGGTGGCATCCCCCACTGGGGAGGGGTAAGGCAGAGGGAAGCCTGGCACCCTAGGAGTCTGAACTTTACAAACCTCTGCTGAACACTGGCAGAGAAAGAGACTATGCCCAGACCAAGAAACAATCTCTAAGGCTGGCCCAAAGGTTGAGGGTTACACACACACACACACACACACACACACACACACAGCTCCCAGCTCTTCTCAGCTTAAACTAATCCTAAGATCAAGCACCACAGGCCCATCCAACTTCCAAACACACTTTCATATCCAAGGGTTCATTTAATCCCAACATCAACCTTCAGAGGAGGTATTATCAAAATTCCCACTCAAAAGAGAAGGAGACAGCAGCTCGGAAGGGCATGCCCACCTAATAGGTAGGAGATCCAGTCCTGACGCCAGCATCGGCACTCCAAACCTCTATATTGCAGCACCTGTCAGTCCTACCAGAAACATCTTAATGAGTAAGTTACAGTTCTGTTGCTTTTCCCACATCCCCAATCTCTCCAACTTCAATGCGTACACAAAAAATTTAATACCAATTGTTATATTTATTTTATATCTAATATATAATATATGTCTAATATTCCCTTACATTATATCTAATATTCCCTTGTCCCCATCTTCCACTTGAGGAAAATGAGGCTCAGAGAGAAGTGACTTGACCTTATCACCCAGAGAATCAGTGGTGCAGCTGCAGACCCAAGGCCAGGGCCTGTCCCTTGAAGAACAGGAGACCCAAGAGGTACCCCCACACCCACATTTATTCCTTGCTCTACCCTAAGCAACACCCCCCACACTCCTGCAATATTTCTTCACTGGAGGGAATTAACAAATCTCAAAAGGGTGAAAGAGTGGGTTGCTCCCCCGAGGCCTGGCCCTTAGCTCTGTTAACACCCCACTCCACTGGCCCCTCTCCAAAGCTCCTTGACAGTCTGGGTCTATCACACTCTCAGCCTTAACATCTTCCCTCAATCAGTGACCTTCTCCAGCTAGGATCCTTCCTCCTAGTTTCAGCAGAGGAAACTGAACAATTGTGACTTACCCAAGGGGAGTTGAGGCTTCGCCCTAGGTCACTTGCTTCCTTAGTGTTGTGAGGGGCCCAGGGCTAGACCGTGTGTGGCTGAGGGGAACCCCCGGCCTCTGTCCTCCAGTGCAGCAGTCTCACTGTGCTTGTGGGGAGCCTCCAGCTGACCTCCCTTGGGAAGCCAGGGACCCAGGGGTTGGGTCCTGGGCTCCAGCTACAGGAGCTTGGCTGAGGTCCCTCCTTGCTTCAGGGAATCAACCTGATGGACCACACTCAGGATTCCAGGGGATCAGTTTGGAAGAGGCAGTTTGGAGCAACAGTCCTGGGACTTAGGGAGGGCAGGGAGAGAGGTCTCAGCTTCTAGGCATTCGCTGGCCTCCTCTGACCTGGTCCCAGTCCTTGGGTGCTGAGGAAGGACTCCTAAGAAAGTAGCAGGAGGACCAATCTACTCAGGCCCCCCACCCCAAGAAATCATCCTACAATGTTCATCATAAAGCCGGTCGCACCCAGAACCGCAGGGAGGCGTGTGAAGCTGTAGTTAGTAATCCTTTCTTTCATTCATGGGTGTCAGGAAAAGGGTAGGCCTGCTCAGGACAGAAGACCCAGCAGAGCTTCTGATTCCAAAGTCTCCGGGTCAGGGTCGCCATGGCAACCAAAGCCCCAGCCCTTGGGTCGCACGTTTCGGCGAGGATAAGGGGCGGGGCCACGGGAGGGCGTGTCGTGGCCTCTGGAAGGCTCGGAACTTCAGTGCTAGCAGGGCGCGTTGTCGCCCGGAGCCTCTTGAGCCACGGCCCGACGGCTTGCCAGCCCGGCGCCGGAAGTGAGCTGTTCGGAGGCGCAGATTGGAGCTGCGGCGTCAGAGCCCCGGAGCCGCCACTGCCGCAGTCATGCTGAGTTTTGGAATTGGGGAGGCCAAGCAGGGTTTGGGCCACGGTCGCGGCCCTCACGAGTTCCTCGGCCGCGCTGAGGTTCAAAACTCTGGCCTGAGCCATTCAGCTCCCCTCCACCGCTTTGAGGTTTTGGGGGATCCGGCCTGTCCCCGCGGACCTTTCGGAGGGGGAGGCCAGGGGTGAGGCTGCGGAGCCTCCTGGAACTCTGACGATCGCGTCGCTGTCGCGTCTCCTGCTAACCCCCTCCTGTCCTCTTCCGTCAACAGTTCTCTTCTGTCAAAACCAAAAGCACCATAGGAGCTACAGTATCTGATACCGACGTCTTAGTAAGTTCCAAGTATTGTTCGAAATCTCAGCCTGCTAACAGCCTTTTGAAGTAGGTGCCATTATTATCAACACTTTACAGGTGAGGAAACTTGAGGTTCAGCGAAGTGAACCTCACAGCTGGTAAATGGCAGAGCCGAGAGTCGAACCCTCCTAACCATTCCGTTCTGCCATCTACTACCTCTCACAGCAGAGATGACTGAACAGTTGCTCCGGGTAGGGCCCTCAGGTAGGGGGGCTCTTAAGGAAACTGATGTAGGGATGAGCTCAATGAATCTCTAAGGGCAGGGCTCAGTTTTTTAAATCTCTGTAGTATCTGCAATGTATATTCAGTCCACACCTACCCATTGAGTGAATGAATGAGAACTAATGGATCAAAGTATCTAGACTGAGCCTGGCACAGTCTAGCAAACGTGTGCTCTTAGGAAAGTGGGTGTGCCTCAGCAGCAGGTTTGAGAGAACCTGCAGGAACCCAGAAATCAGAACACTGAGTTAGTTCTTACTCTGCAGGGTGGGTAGGTGTTAACTCATTCACCTCTTTTGGCCTCTGGTTTTTCTGCTGCTGAACAGAATTGGGGGCTCTTACACTCTTGACAATCAGCTCATTCTAAATGAATTTTTAACCCCTCTGATTCTGAAGAGGGGAATTGTTTTAAGTGCTGCCTCTTACTACTTAACAAGGACCAGATAATGTCAGTTGCTCAGGAGAAAGTACTCTAAGGCTTTAATACACACACGCCTACATACACACACTTGTTTAGAAGCGTGGTTCACCAACCCTGGCTGGTGGGTGAGACTGGTTAGAAATAAATGCTGATTATTTCTAAGGTCCTTTGGAAACCTGGGATGAAACTACCTCTTTGTAAACTTTCTTCCTGACTCTATTTATCCTTCAGCCATTGGATTTAGGGAATTCGGTGTAACAACTACTTTTTGTCCTAAATAGGTAGCTTTCATTTGGATTGGAAAGCCTCGTGGGCTGGGAGTCAGAATGTTAGGGGATGGGGCTTTTTTTCCCAGCTCTGCCTTTAACTACCTCTGTGACTTTGGCAAGTGCTTTCTCTTCTATCAGCTCCTTCAGTTCCTTAGTCTATCAGGTGGCTCTGCCTTTGGTACCTCTCAGTGAAGATGTGAAAGCACTTTGTAGCCTGCGTAGCTCGGCACATGGAGGAGACTCCTTATCTTCCTTACTTGCTTCTGCAGACCTTGGGGGCTCGCTCTTTAGGGAGTCTAGAATTCGATGAGAGAAGCTGTGCTGACTTGGTGTGCACTTCCTGAACTGCTTTGCAGCCGTCCTCTTCCCATGTCCACCTTTCTGAAAAGTCAAGTTAGACTTTACACCTACAGGGCTTGTGCTGGAAAAGATGAAATGGGAGAAATGGTAAGGAATGTCTGTTCTGTTCTGATTCAAGCAGCAGAAAATTCAAGAAAATTTTTTTTGATTTTAAAAAATAAAAAGAGGCCGGATGCAGTGGCTCATGCCTGTAATCCTAGCACGCTGGGAGTTCGAGGAGGGAGGATTGCTTGAGCTCAGGAGTTCGAGACAACCCTGAGTAAGAGGGAGACCCCATCTCTACTAAAAATAGAAAGAAATTAGCCAAACAACTAAAAATAGAAAAAATTAGCTGGGCATGGTGGCATGTGCCTGTAGTCCTAGCTACCCATGAGGCTGAGGCAGGAGGATCGCCTGAGCCCAGGAGTTTGAGGTTGCTGTGAGCTAGGCTGATGCCACGGCACTCTAGCCTGGGCAACAGAGTGAGACTCTGTCTCAAAAGAATAAAATAAAATAAATAAATAAATAAAAAGAAATGTCTATTCCAAACTGAAACCTCCTTTTTGGTCCCCCTTTCTATCCCAAGAATTTAGAGAATAGCGGTTCAGCAAAGAAAAAAAAATAACAAGTTTTTGTTCATTTATTTATTCATTCAGCAGATAGTTCCTGGGTTCCTTCTGTGAGTTTCTTCTGTTTGTAAAGCTCTGTGCTGGATGATTTGAGGAGATTCAGAACTGAAGATGGCTCACACCATGGCTCCAGGTAGCTCACCTTCTAGTGGAGAGAAGAAACAACATAAAGTGTAGACATTCCATGCCGAAGATAAGCATCAGAGTCCAGCCATCTGGGGATCTGAGAATCTTCAAAAGGGCGTGGGGCAGGGTATGTAATTAGAACTGGACCTCAATGAATGGGCAGGAGAGCAAAGACCATGACAGCTATGTTCCAGCCCTACAAACTCTTTAACCCGGAATCCTACCAGGTGACAGTCTAGGGTCTGTCACAAGTGGTGGACCAGGGAGCAGCCTCAGAAAAAACTTGAGTCTTAGGTAATAACCCAGTTATTCATATCATATCTGCTGAATAGAATTGGGGGCTCTTATACTCTGACATTGTGCCTGAAACATCAGAGGATCTCTCATCCAGGAAGGGAACGCCAGCTTAGCTCCCTTGAGGTTCCTCCTCATCCTCAAAGGTAGCCAGGACTGCTTGCCATTCCCCCATGCACTTCAAGCTCTCCCAGACCTGTGTTTCTTTGCTTGTGTTAGTCCCTCTGCGTGGACTGTACTTTTCCCCTGTGCGCTTGCCAAATTCCTACTCATCTAAGGCTCAGTTCATATCTACCACCACCACCCACCTCAGGCCCCTACAGCATATGTAAATCACTGTTAAAGGATTTATCTTGGGCAGGCACGGTGGCTCACGCCTGTAATCCTAGCACTTTGGAAGTCTGAGGCGGGAGGATTGCTTGAAGCCAGGAGTTCAGGACCAGCCTGGGCAATGTAAGAAGATCCTGTCCCTAGAAAAAAATTTAAAAAATTAGCCAGGCATGGTGGCATGCATCTGTAGTCCCAGCTACTCAGGAGGCTGAGATGGGAAGATCGCTTGAGCCCAGGAGTTGGAGGCTGCATTGAGCTATGATGATGGCACTGTCTCTAGCCCAGACTACAGAGCAAGACCCTGTCTCAAAAAAAAAAAAAAAAAGGATTTATCTTGCCATGTTAGGGTTATTTATGTGCAAGCTTCTCAAGGGCAAATAGTACCTCTTATCCATGTCTGAATCTCCAGTTCTTGGCAAAAAAGAAGGTACTTAGAATGAATGTTCACTAAATGAAGGAACAAATATAGTCAAGAACTTTAGAAACAATTGTTGGATTTATTGAGATGATTGCATTCTAACTGCCATCAGTTACTTTACCAGCAATATCTTTGGTTCTAGGTGTCAGTAATTAACACTGTGGACACCTCCCATGAGGACATGCTTGTAAGTATTCATTTAGCCCTCCTAGGCTGTGGACATGGGCATTTCTGGGGGGGGGGGCAGTTTGGGTTTTTTATTGCCCCTTTCTGTTGATCATTCATGAATCCAGCTGTGTCTTTGCAGCAGTTGCCAGTTAGGCTGTAACATCAGGGGTACACTTAGTCTCCCCAGCAGTATCCTCTGAGTTGGCAGGGCTGTGGCAGTCTGGTCACTCTCTGCTGGCGGGAACCTGGGAATGGCTTGTGGCTTAAATCTCTCAGTCTTATGGTCAACACAGTACCCTGCTCTGGGGTGGAGGCTGAATGGGTGCAGAGGTTTGACAATAGTCTTCCCTCCTGTCTTCCTCTTGCTGTCACTTCTTAGCCCCACTGGAAAGGGGGTTAAAGGAAGAGAGAAGGCAGTACAAAGGCAGCAGGTAAAGGGCCAAGGCAGAGGCAGGTAGAACCACCACAGGCAATAGGTTGGACAAGGCCCTTTGAACCAGCTGGGGAAGGCCAACGGGCCTGCCAGGTGGCTGCCAGCTCCTCTGGGGAGGACAGCAGGGGTCAGATGGATGGGAAAGTGGGCAGGGTAGAAGCTAAGACTCTGCACCTCCACTCTGCACTGTCTGCTTCTGTCATTAGCCCTGTGGCTTTGGGGACTCACTTAACTTTCCCTGTGCCTCACTGTTCTCTGGGAGAATGGGAGGACAGTAGTACCTAGCGCAGGCAGTTGTGTTGATAACAGAGTGAAAATGTTTATAAAGTGCTTGACTCGAAGGAATAAGGTCAAGCTTCCAATACTTTGCCCATTGTTAAATGGGGTTGTCTTTTTTTATGGATTTGGTGGACCTTATGCTAATATCAGTGTGATACTTTGGTCTTCTGTTGGGTATCCTCCCCAGTTATCATGTGAAGGTTGTTTTCTTTGCACTTGTTCTGGTTGTCAGAGTCGAGATCTCTGAGAACTTACAGTCGAAGTATTTTGTTTGAAAGTTAGTTGAGATAATTATTCTCTGTGTGGTTATAGAATCAAATTGATATAATTCAGATTTATTTGTATGAAGTTTTAGGGTTTTTGTTCTTTTAATTTAATTGAAGATTTTGATTAGGTCAGGGTTTGTAGAATTACAAAGTGAAAACCAAAGTCTCTGCAGAGCAGTCTCGCTCCCATTGGTCCTCTCAAGCTCCTTCCCACTCCCTCCCTAGAGATCGCCATCTGCATCAGCTTCTGCCTTGTCCTTGCTGTTCTCATTGTGAAAGGAAGCAAATCCATGTCCTGGTCCATTCTTGTGTCTCTTTCTTTCCCACACGGTAGGCAGTGCCTGCTCTCCAGTGTCCTGGACCCTGCTGTTTTCTCACTCACACCAGTTGGCAGATGCAGTGTTTATGATTTTGTGTTTGCGTGCACTGTGTGGATGCACTGGAGTTTATTCATCCAGCCCGCTGTGGATGGACATCAGCTGTTTCCAATCTTTTTGCTGCCAGTTTTCTTCTTCACTTTTTATTTTAAAGTGATTTTAGATTCACATAGAATTGCAAAAATAGTAGATACCATTGCTTGGATGCTTCACCATCTTCCTCTAATGGTGATATCTCATGTTATATAACATCAGTGCACTGTCAAAACCAGGGAGTTGGCGCTGGGCACTATTGCTAGACTACAGACCTTATTCAGTTTTCACAGTTTTGACATGCACTTTGTGTGTGTTCATGCCGTTTGATCTCAAGTTCAGTGTGGTGTAACAGCAGCACCACCGCCGTTGACGTAGAGCTGTTTTCATCACCGCGTGGAACTCGGTTGTGCTACCCCTTCTTAGTCACATCCCCCACCTCCTTCCTGTCCGCTAGTGGCAGTCACTAATCTGTTCTCATCCATATTTTGAGGATGTTACATACACAGAATCATATAGTGTATAACCTTTTAGGAGGTTGGCTTTTTTTTTTTTTTTTTGAGACAAAGTCTCACTCTTTTGCCCGGGCTAGAGTGAGTCCATGGCGTCAGCCTAGCTCACAGCAACCTCAAACTCCTGGGCTCAAGCGATCCTTCCTGCCTCAGCCTCCCGAGTAGCTGGGACTACAGGCATGCGCCACCATGCCCGGCTAATTTTTCTATATATTTTTAGTTGTACAATTAATTTCTTTCTATTTTTAGTAGAGATGGGGTCTCGCTCTTGCTCAGGCTGGTTTCGAACTCCTGAGCTCAAACAATCCACCCGCCTCGGCCTCCCAGAGAGCTAGGATTACAGGCATGAGCCACCGCGCCTGGCCTGAGGTTGGCTTTTTTTCACGGTTCCATGCTCTTAGGATCCTACAAGGTGTTGCATGTATCAAGTTTATTTCTTTTTATTCCTGAGTACTATTACATTGCATGGATATGCCAGAGTTTGTTGCATCCTTCACTCATTGAAAGACATTTGGGTGGTTCCCAATGTTGGGCTATTATGAGGAAAGCTCTTGCAAACCTTCATCGACATGTTTTTTGTGAAGGTAAGTTTTCATTTTCTGGGATAAATGCTGAAGAGTGCAATTGCTGAGTCATGTGGTACATGCATGTTTAGTTTTGTAAGAAACTGCTGAACTATTTTTGAGAATGGCTGTACCATTGTATAATCACACTGGCAATGTATGGGGTGTCTGGTTTCTTTGCATTCTTGCTAGCATTTGGTGTTATTTCTTTCTTTATCCATTCTAACAGGTACAGTGATGTCACATTGTGGCTTTAATTTGCATCTCTCTAATTGCTAATGATGTTGATTACATTTACATGTGCATATTTGCTGTCCATATCCTTTCTTTGCATGATTTTAATTCTTTTAGATTTATTAAAGTTTTGTTTTATGAAGCAAGATGTGGCCTATCTGGTGAATGCACCGTGTGCACTAGAAAAGAATGTGTATTCCGCTTTTGTTGGATAGAGTGTTCTAAAATGCCCGTTGATGCTGTTGTTCAGTTCTACTGCATCCTTGCTGATTTTCTGTTTACTGGTTCTGTAGCTGACTGAGAGAGGAGTGTTGAAGTCTCAAACTATAACTGTGGATTCGCCTATTTTTGCTTCTGGTTCTGTGAGTTTTTGCCTCTGTCGTTAAGTGCATACACATTTAGGATTGTTGTATCTTCTTGGTAAACTGACCCTTTATTATGAAATGTCCCCTTTATCTCTGGTAACTGTCTTTGTTAGAAGTCTTATTTTTCTGTTATTATTATAGCTACCCTCTCTTTTTATTATTGGGTGCATGGTATATCTTTACCCATCCTTTTAACATGCAGTTGGTCATTTTTTAAAATCCATTCAGTAGGCACATTTTTAAAAATCCATTCTGACAATTGGTGTCTTTTAATTGGTGTGTTAAATCATTTATATTTAAAGAAATGATTGATATGCTTTTAGGTCTAGCACTTTATTACTGGTATTCTGTTTGTTCCATCTGATTTTTCTTCCTCTGTTTCCTGTTTCTTGCCTTCTTGGGGTCATTTTCCCATTTTTATGTTACATTTTAATTTACCTGTTGTGATTTTTACTGTGTCTCTTTATATAGTTTTACGGTGGTTATTCTAGGGATTACAATACACACATGTAGCTTTTCACAGCCTACCTAGAATCAATATTTTACCCTTTCAAGTAGAATGTGGGGATCAGTGTGTAGACCCCTTGATTCTTCCTCTGCTCTGTGATGGAGTTGTCTCATGTGTTACATCTGCATACATTAAAGCCCCATCTGACAACTTTATAATATTTTCTTTGAGCCAGCCAACCTATTTTATACAATTCAATAAAAGAAGAGTCTATTATTTATACTAGATATTTGTACCATTTCTGTTGATCTCCACTTTAATGGTCAGTCCTGCCCCATCTTATTTTACTTACACCCCTCACATTCCCCAGCTTCTTTACCCCTGAATTATTCTGAAGCAAATTCCATACCATTTGATCCATAAATATCTTAGTATGTTTATCAAATATAAGGATCTATTAAAATATATAAGTGTGCTGTCATTATTACATTTAAAATGTAACTTTGATTTAATTTCTTAATGTCACAACTATTCAGACGATGTTTAATTTGGCCTGATGGGCTCACAAATATATATTTCTAAAAAATCTGTTCACTTCAGTCAGGTCCCAAAGAGGTGCAGACATTCCCATTGGTTTGGCTGCTTAAGTCTCTTCATTTATAGATTCCCCTTCTGTCACTTTTTCCTTGAAATATATTTGTTGAAGAAACCAGTAATTTCTTCTGTAAATGTTCCACATTGTGAGTTGCACTGATTCCATCCTTTTGGGTCATTTAACAAATTCCTTTGTCCCAGTATTTCCTGTAGATTATTAGATCGAGAGTCTCGATCAGATTCAGAATTAATGTTTAGCAAGGTTACTTCACAGGTAGCCCTGTTGTATCACTTGAACTTAAATGAATTTTAAAATATTTGATGTGTTTGAATCAATGAGAACTATTTTTCTTATTAATGCCTCAATTACCTCATGTTTTGTTAGTGGCAGCCTCTTGAAGTTGGCTCCTGAGTCCTTTTAACATGACTCTAAGAATCTCCAAGAGCTTCCTTGCTTTCCACTGTAATATTTTGTGTACTTTCCTTCCCTGGCCAGGAATCAACTGTTTCTTCAGGGAGCTGTGGATCCTTTTTATGGAAAGTGGCATGCAGAATCACAGTCTTGGCCTGTGTATTTCATCAGAGTCTGGCATGTGAACACATTGCAGAGCTCCCACTGGAGCACCTCCTGTCTTCAGGAAGGGTGTTTTTTGTTTGTTTATTTTTAATTGGTGTAGCATCCGTGTTCTCTGGAGTTGGCTGTGGATTTTTTCATCTGCTGCTAGTCTTCATTTTCAGTTATAAGTTGCCTTTTGTTGACCTGCACCGTTGTCACATTAGTGGCTACAGGTTGACGTGGAGCAAGTGATGTGTATTTGGATCAGTGGTGTTTGGAGCCTGTCATTTACCAGTGGTGAGACACTTACACATCGTGTTTCAGATAGGAATCATCCATAACTATATTTCTCCAACAAACTTATGCATAACTCACCATTGAATTTGTGAATACAGCTGACACTTCTTTGTTATCACCAAGTTCTTTTTCTACTGAAGAATGGAAGAGGTGGGTAGAGGAACTGTGTGGTTTGTTGACCCATTGAAGTGAGCCACAGTCAGTACCATTTGAGAGTCACTGCTTACACCTGGAAGAAACAGGCACTAAGGGAGAGATTTCTAGCACCTAGAAAAGGGGAAAGTCGGGGGCTGGGAAAATGTGCCAGACCTACATGGAACGCACCTTTAGGCCAAAGAAATCCTGCTCTCAGAAGTATGGCCCTGATTCTTAGCGGAAGCCAGCCTCAAGTTTCCCTTTCTACCCTCGGGGATCCAGCTCATCGGGCCTCTCCTTTCCTCTTCTTCCCCCTCCAGCTTCTAGAGACGTGGCCAAATTCCCCGAAGGACCGTGAGCTTGAGCAGGCCATGTGGTGTGCTACCTGTGTTCTTGGCTTTACTGTAAAAATGAATAAGTTCCAAGTGAGTGGCCACCTGCCCCAGAGCCTGAGCCCTGGTGCCCCCTATTGTCACCCTCACCCCTACCTTTGTCCCCAACTTCATCACAACTGTCACCTGTCCTCGGCACTCAGCCTCACCCTCTGCCCTCTGGCCCCCTGCTCTGTTTCCTCCTGGGCATCCCATCTTGTTCTCGCCTTTCTTTCTCCTCCCTCTCCCCTACCCTCACGTCTTCCACTTGGTCTTTTTGTGCATCCACCAATTCAGTTTCATTCCACATGCTTCGGTCTCCATTCACCCCACCAAGCAGCTACTGGACCGTCACCTTGGCCAGACACTGTGCTAATCAGTGTAGTGGATACACAGATGACCAGGACAGTTCCCTAAATGCCATGATGAACGCACAAACCAAGTGTGGTGGGGAGAATGTATGGAAACACGAATGATCACAAGTGAGGGAATCCGGGAAAGCTTCATAGAGGAGGACGCATTTGAGCTGGGCTTGAAGAACGAGTGGGCTGTCAAGAGGCAGAGAAGGGGGGACAGTGTCAGGTCCTGCCCCAGCTATGTTGGTGTAGTGCTTTCCAGCCACACCTCATCTGATTCCTTCCCTGTTCCCGCACCTAGTCTCACCACTCAGGTCTCTGGCACGTGTCCCCTTCTCCTAGTTTTTCCTGTGACAGCCCAGCCTGAAGGGAGTGGCTGCAGTAACTTGTGACTTCTAGCTCTCCTCCCCAGGTGGAAATTCCGTTCACCTGGCTGGGGCACCTGGTGAGGATGCTGGCCGTGCGCCGCCAGGACCCAGTGGACGGCGTCTGCCGCTTGGCTGCCGAGGCTGTCTGCTAGCTGTACTGCATCATGCTGCAAAAGTGTATGCACAGCCCTCTCTTGTCCCTCCCTCCAACCTCCCCACACGCTGCGTTCCAGAAGAGCGAAGGCCTAGAATTTACCTGAGCACTTTACTTCCATGGAGGGACCTGCCTCCAAACACCTGCAGTTAGCCCTCTGGGCACAAAATACCTGCCCGGGAAAGAGTTCTTTTCAATTAGTTCCTCCATGTCTGGCTGAGCTTCATACTCGTACCCAGTTCTGTCTCTGCTCTGAGGAAGGCAAAGTGGGGGTCCTTAAACAGGGGCTGTCAGCGTTCCTTATGGCGATGTCCGCTCCTCCCCTGCCCGCCCCCACCTCCCTCCAAGCTGGCTTAGCTCAGTAGGTGCCTTGGGCTAGACCAGGTCCCTGAAACGTGGCCTTCTGAGTGTCTGAGGGGTGAGCTTGGGGCCTTTGCTTCAGAGATGAGAAGGAGAAAAACGAGGGCTGTTGGAGCAAGAGGGCAAGGAGTGAAGCCTACAGTGCCAACACCTATAACAACACCATTCAGAGTGGCAAGGTGAGGGGGTGGGGCCAGAGACAAAGCGGGGAGAGCTGGGGCCTCTCATTTACATGATGTTCCAGCCCCCTCTGGTGGGATTCTTGTGTTTTCCTGCCTTCCCTCTCTGTGACTGGCTGTGAAGATTTCCTTTGGGGGACTGTCCTGTGCAATGGAAGACCCAGGCCTGGGCTCCCAAATGCTCTCCCTTGAGCATGCTGGGTCCTGATCCTTCATCATGGCCTGTCCCCCAGAACCATTGGTTTCATGGTCCTGATGCTTCCTGAGCAATGTGTATCCCAACTCCTGCCTCAGAGAGGTGGCACTAAGGACCCCAGCCCCAGCCCCTCTCTGCCACTGCTCTGCCTCTGCAGCCTGTGACCTGTGAGGCCCACATTGCACCTGAGCTCAGTGTGTCTGCCTCCCACCCCAAAGACTCTGGCTGTGGGGACAGTGTCCTCTGGGAGCTCAGCAGATAGCACCGGCCAGGACAAAAGGGCATCTTGCTCCCGAGAGGGGTTCTCCCTCGTCCCCTTCCCAGGAGGTGTGGTCCAGGCCATCGGAGGCAGGGTGCCCAGGTGAGCCCAGACTGGTGGCCCGTGTTGCAGGCGTTTGCAGAGTGCTTCACCCAGATCCAGCTCAGCAACCTGGTGCTGGAGGCCATGGAGGGCCTGACCGACAGCGAGGCTGAGTTTCCTCTGCCTGCTGCCCAGCTGATGGGCACTGTCATGAAAGAGCAGGGCAGAGACATGAGTGACACTATGGCAAGAGCTCTACCCTGTAAATCAGGAGCCCTGGGCTCTCTCCTGGCTCCAGTACTAACCAGATGAAGGGCCCTGGGCAAATCCCTTCTCCTCTGTTGGTCTTAATTCACTCACATATAAAATGTAGTCTTGGACTAGGTTTTCGCTGTGGTCCCACTGAGCCGTGACATTCGTAATCCTGAGCTCGAAACTGCCTCCTGCGTTGGGGTCTGGTTCCTCAGTCAGCACCACCATGTGCAGGGCCGTAGGCAGCTGGAGCGGCTAAAAGCCAGAGCATGGGGAGGCATTGCTGGAGGCACTCCCCTTGTCCCCGGGGTGTCAGGGCTTAGGCTGTAGATTCCAAATCAACAAGCTTATGGGGTGATTCTGACCTTTGAAAGCATTGTCTTTTCTTTTAGTTTCATGTGGAAGATTGGCATGAAAATCTACATCTCCCACTTCACTGAAAAGAATTTAAAATGTGGTCACCTAGGGCACCTGCGTGTGGACACTGTCCTTTTTATAGATGGGGCGTGGGCCCTCTCAGACCATCCTACTATTGCTGAGACCCCTGATACCCATTGTCCTCACTCATGTGACCTGCCTGGCCAGGAGATGAGAACTGGAAGGACGCGCTGCGGGTGTCTGGAAGCACTGCACTGGACTGGCTTTCCCAGGGCTGTGTTAAGGACTTGAGGGCCAGGACAGAGCCTGGGGCACCCCACCTCCAATGCCACTTGTCCCTGCAGTGTTGAGGGTTGAAATTGATTGAAAGTTGATCCCAGCTGGAAGGGGAACCCTTCAAGTGTCTGCAGGGCCCTTGCCTTCCCTCCTGGTGGACTTGCACCTCCTGAGTAACCTGGGAACTCATCTACAAGTTTGGGGGCTGTGGGTAAGCATTTGCTACAGTGGCCTTGGTGCCAGCTCCTAGAGTTTTTTCTGTGGCCCCTGCGGGTCTGGCATCTGGTACCCCAGAACTCTGCCTTGAGAAGGGTGTCACTGGCAGGACTGCGACTAGGCCCCTTGCGTTTGGGAGCTGGTAGAGGAGGAGTGTGGGAAGGAAGCATGGAAGGAGTTATGGGAGTTCTCCTGGCTCTGCCCTGTAGGTTGAGGAAATTGTGGAGGGTGTCCTTAAATGGCTCCACTTGAATCTGGAGCCCAACACAAAGGAGAAGACCCTGCAGGCTGTGTGCTCTCTGGCAGGCAGCAACACTGGCACTGTGGTCCCCGTGTTGCTCAGCAAGCCCCAGCCCTGGGACAGGTACCTCTGCCCTAGCCCAGGGGCACATTCTATACCCCAGGAAGCCCCCATGCCTGGCCCCAAGCCCAGATTAAAAGCCACCCTGCAAGGATGCTGTCTCCTTCCACCCCCTTCTCTTTGATCCCAAGCAAGCCTCCTCTCCATGTGCTCTGGCCAGTTTCTCTTTGGTCTCACTCCCTCCGGTCCCTGAGAACTGGCTCTTCATGGGCCTGAGATCAGACTCATCCTAGGAGTGTGATAACCAGGGCCCATGACATTGCTGTCCCCAGGTTTTGCAGCTCCACTCTGGTCCTGTGGAAGGTGTTTGGCACCCAGCGAGACACCATACTCAATGCCCTGCAGCTGCTCACAGATGTCCTGGAAAAGACCCGCTCCAGACAAGACACAGTGGAGATGGATGCCCAGCCTGTGGTGGTCAGTACAGGGAGGAGGGGGCCTCTGCCCCTGGGAGCTTGGGGGCAGAGTTGTGGATCAAAGGGCTTGACCTCAAGGGTCAAGCAGGTACTGGGGAGGGGCAAAGAGGAGTCCACCCTGGCTCCTCACAGGAGCACTTTAACCTCCTTTCGGTGCTTTGGGATCTAAGAATGCTGGTGGAGAAAGAGTGGGGACCAATCCCATTGTATGAACAAGGAAACTGCCAGGCAGGGTCACCAGCTTGTGCTCTCCCCTGATTCTGGAGCTGGCCTCATTTTACAGGAAGCCTGGGGTGTGGCAAGGGGCATAGGAGAGGAGGAAGTCTGGTGGTCTGGAGTTAGTGTGGGCAAAGTATGCCAGAAATCACCTGCTGCTGAACATACAGAGTCAGTTTCCTTTCCACTTTTAATGGCAAGTGAGCAGAAGAGGAGGCAGATTGCACGTGCATGGCCCACTCATTTCCCTAGGGGTGAGGTGGGGTGTTGCTCCAAGAATTAATATAAATATATTGGTGACAAGATATGTCTCAGGAGTTTTGCAGAGCTTTGCCCTGAAGGAATATGTGAACGTGTTAGTTTGCATATCAAAAGCTGTTGCACCTCAGGAGGGCATCTGTGAAAGACAGTAGCGGCTGTATCCCACAAGGCACCACATTTCTCAGACCTAAAGGTTTGGATTTGCTTTGTAAAGCAAAGCACATCTGTTAAAAACTACAGGATGAGAGCTGACCAAAGAGTGCCCGCCCCAAACAGACAGCCGCCTGAACAGCCCACCTATGGCTAAAAGCAATTAGCCCAAGGGGCAGTTCCTGCTTAAAACTCCGGACTACCTGTCTCCATTCACAATAACCTGATAAAGAAAATATGGAGCCAATATATCTCTGTTTAACCCCTCTGTTAAGTGATAAATCTACCTTAGACCTTAGAAGTTAATCTTTGAAAGATTTTGTAACCATTTGTTCATGTAGATAGAATTAGTTAAGGGATCTGTAGAAGCCTTTTGAAAAACTGTTAACCTAAGAGGAACTACTTGCTGTTATGTAAATCTGTTACCCCTGGCAACCGATCACTGTTACCTATAAATGGCCATGTAAGACTTCATTCGTGGCTTCTGAGATTGAGGGAGAAATCCAGGCCCCCTTAGCACCCGCTTTGCCTATAATCTTTATAAATCTATAAAACTATACATTCGTCTCTGTGTATTCTTTTATTTCCATTATTTTCCATTTTCTATTATTTTCTTATCCCTTGCAACCCTACCAAAGGGGCCCAGTTTTTTGCAGGGAGCTTGGCCACCTCCCAGCAGTGGCGGGTGCTGAGTCTTTGGATGTTTCTTACAAGCCTGGCTCAGAGTGAGCTGTGCCTGCTGGGCACTGACAGGGAGGGACAGGATGGGCTTCCAGCCCAGGCTTTCAGTGTGAGGTATGGTGGCCCAGGCCTGGTCAATTCTGCTCCCCCAACCCCAGGTGACAGGTGCCTTGTGTGAGATGCTGTCGGGACCCCTGTGCCAGGAGGCTGTCCAGGAACTCTTCCCACAGCTGTTGCTGGCTGTGCTGTCATTTCTACTGGGTGACTGAGCAAAACGCTCCCCAGAAGATAGTGGTGTCCAGCCAGGAGTGGGCCCCAGGCAGTGAGAGCAAGTCCTTTGACCCCACTAGGTAAGCCTCACCTCCAGGTGGTGGAGAAATGCAATGAGTCAATTCCTGAGAGCCCTGGATGACTAGATGCTGATCTCTTAGGGACACAAGGAAGAGAAGAGTAGGACATGGTGTGGGTGCCACAGCATTGTGCACCGGAATATTCTCTCAGATTTTCATATTTCTTATTATTCCTTTCATCATGTGCACTCTTCTACTGACACACCATGGTTCCTACCCATGTTCGTAACTCTACACGTGAAGAGGTTCAGTTAGATGGTAGATGACAGGGCCAAGACTATGTCACCCTTTTCACTCAAGGTTGGCCATTTGAATCAGCCTGTTGGCCTCTGACTTCACTTCCTCACTAGCTGCCCCATCTTGTGCAAGTCCCTACTGGAATTCAGTTCTCTCACCTGTGAGATGGGGGTTGGACTCCTAAATAAGTGGTTGTCATACTTTTTTTTAACCTCAGCACATTTGATTCCAATGAAATCTGAAATGAAAATGAAAACAAATGAAGCCAATGAAGGAGAGACACTCTGATTAGGTGTGGAGGTGAAGAGTGAGAGCAGAACTCGGAAACCACCACTAGGACATCCCTGTAGTGTCTTTCATAGGACTCTGTGGTTGGAGGAGGGTCAGGGTGAAGGGGTAAAGTGGATGGGCAATTGGAGATGGGGCCATAGAATCACGACTTCTTGTCAGCAGCAGAGCAGAACCCAGCTACCATATCTGAGAACTGTCTCCAACTTGCCAGCACAGGAATGCAACCAAAAAAAAAAACCAAAATATTCGCACCAGGGCAGTTGTGATGCGAATAGGAATGCAACCCAGGGCATAACACCTTGTTCATCTTTGTCCTTTTCTTTTCACAGACCCAATGGCGGTGGCCTTCAGTTTTGCTTTGGAGATAGTGAAGTTGGTGCTCCTGGCCACTGTGTACGAGGGAGTGGTGTCCTATGCAAATGACCATCATTGCTGGGACCTTCTGTCCAGCTCCAAATCTTTCTACATATGGGTCATAGACCTGACCAGGTGGAACCACTTCTTGAGTGTCCCTGGCACCACTATGACCCCGGACCCCAGTTTCTGAGGTCCCAGCACTCAAATACAGTAGCCTTCCACCCTCCTTCCCCAACTTCCCAGCCCTCTGCTCTCCTGACTCCTCAGCCTTCATGTCTTCCCTGTTGTGTGCACACTGGACCCTGGCCACTTCCCCCACCCCAGCAACTGCTTGCTTCCTGTGTCCCATCCCAGTATAATGGAAAAGACGTGTGACCCCTGCCTTCTTCACTGAATCATGAGCCATGTCCAGAAGTACCTCTGCAGCATGGATGAGGGTAGGAAGATCCCGGCCAGGGCCTCATATGCGCAGGTGAGAGCTGAGAAGAGCACAACAGCTGCAGCCATCTTCCTGTAGCTGAGGGACTGACTGTTTAACAGGAGGTTAACTAACGTCCCAGGAAGGAGAAAAAAGAGAATCAGGCCATCTCAAGTGGAGTTCCCTTCCCTGGCACGTCAGGGGACTGGTTCAAGGAGGCCAGGAAAGCTGGGAAGGGGTTAGCAGTTCTAGTCCTCCCTGAATAATGCAGGATCCCAGAATTGGGCTCCAAATTCAAGGCTTACCAGCAATACCCCCAAGCCCTGCCCCATAGCCTCCTCCCCACGTGAGCAGACCTGCCACTGCTCTCACCTGGATGCAGGCCTTGCCTGAGCAGAGGGCTGGGCGAGCACAGGGTCCCCGTGACCTCTCCTCCACCCGTAACCGTGGTGTCCTGCCCCTCAGCTCCTCTGGCACCACCAGTGGCACAGACCCTGAGGCACCAATCTCTGGGTGCTCTAACCCAGTGGGTCAAGGATCCCAACTTCATCATGGAGGAAATCGGCCTGCAGGGAATCAGTAACCTGGCCCTGCACCCGGGAAATGTAAGCGTGGGGGAGGGCCCAGTGGGATCACCTGGGAGTCCCTTAAGCATATGCTTTTCCTCCTTGGGTCCCTCAGTTGCCCCAGTTTTAGTATATCCACCCCTCATCTGAGGACATCACAACATCCAGTGTGTGGGCCTGCGTAGGCATGTCCTCAAGTTGCCTGACCCCGAGCCTCCATTTCCTTGGCATGTCCAGCCCCTAGGTGTCCCACATCTGTTCCTCTTAGGCATCATCTATGTGCTCTGAGTCCCCAGAGTGCTGCAGGATCCCCAGGTGGTGAGTGATCTCTGCCTTGTTCCACATAGTCAAAGGCTCTCAAGAGGCTGGTTCCATTCTTACGAGGCTTCCTGAATGCTGAGGTGCGGGTGGCAGTGCAGGCAGTGGACAGCCTGCAGAACATCACCCACCGTGGGCAGGACAAGGACATCCAGTGAATGTTGTGCAGCATCTGCCAGCACCTGCATCCCCTCATCAACGATGTATGTGCCTGCGGCCCTAGGAGCCCTTGGGAACAATGTGGGCTGGGGCTGAGGGTGAACCCTGGGGCTTAACTGAGGGTTGGGCTAGGCCAAGGGCCTGTGGCCCAAGGCTGGGATAGACAAAGGGGCAGACAAAAGGAGACCGGCCACATGGAGCAGTGCACAGGACACATCCCAAGTGCATTCTCACCACATCCAGACCCAGTACACGCTTCTACTTTGCCCCAGAACTTCTCTGGAGGAGCCACTGGACCAACAGCTGAAAGCTCGCACACTGGTATGAAGTTGGTGTAAGGACCCGGACTCCACTCATGGAGTAAAGAGGGGAGAGAACTGATGGCTCTACCCTTCTCCCAAATAATACAGGGACCTTAGAATGCTAGAGTCCCTGTGGCAAGAGAAATCTGAAACTCAGAAATTTGGACTGACAGACCAATACCAACCTTCCCCATGTCTCATCCTCCTTACAGATCATGGCATCTTAAAGCAGGAGGGAACTTGATGTCCCTGAGACACATGCTGATAGTAGTCCTGTTGTGGTGATATTTGTAACCTTTTTGGCTTTGGAACCTTGGGTTAGAATCATTTTGGTATAGGTCTCATCTCCTCTATGACCCTGGAAACTCCCAGATGACTAGGTCAATGTCTGACTCATCCATCTTTCAGTTACTTTTTTTTACTCGCTCTTGCTCAGGCTGGTCTTGAACTCCCGAGCTCAAAGGATCCACCCACCTCGGCCTCCCAGAGTGCTAGG